GAGACAGGGCGAGTAGGTTGGCTCAACTTTCTTGTCCGCTCGATGGGGGAGTGCGAAGCCGAATGGGCAGATAGCGATGATGCAGGCCGAGTGGGTTGACTGAGCTTTCTATTGCGCTCGCTCGGAGAGTGCACAGGTGAATGCACGCTCAGAGACGATGTCGGCCGTGCTCCTGCCGGTCTATTCCAGGCATGTTCCCGCTCTGTATTTCGCTCACGCTCCAACTGAGTCATTCTCTCCTTGTCTATAAACCGCCGTCAAAGAACTTGCCAAATTGAGACGCAGATCACTCACAATCAGAATGAGAATGGATTGACGTGCCCCTCGAAGATCCGCTATCACTCAACGCTGAGCCACTACTCACAGTTCTCTCGCGAACATGTCCATTCGTAGTCGAACCAAGCGAAAGATGCCGTTCCGGTCGCGGTGAGCTCTTGGCATGAGGTTTGTTCCACTCTCGTTCCATTTCATGGATGTGTGACGGTGAATCGCGAGTCAGTGAAGCGGACAAGGTCCTGGTACGGGAGTCTGCCGATTTGATTACGAGGAAAACACAAGCACAGTGTCGAGTTCCTTACTCTGTATATCAGCTTGGCTGTGTTTCTTGCGCAGTGTCGGCGGGGTATCAAGATGTAAGGAATGGGGGCGTTTGACAGTAGTCGGTTGTTCTCGCGAGGTTGGAAATGATACTGAGCAACGATTAGATATGCACAATCAGCTTCAATGTGGAAAAACGTACTTGGTCGGCTGGCAGCATCACCATCGAAGCTATCTAGATCTTTCATCATGTTTTGCATTTCAGAATCGTGGTCCATGAGATCTAGAACGATTTAATACATGTTGATCCAGGTGAGCCGCAAAAGAGCAAACTTGTTTGGTATTTGGAGTCGGCAGACAGCTCCATAGAATGTGGCGGCGTGCTGGTGAAGACGGGATGTGCAGGTCTTGAAGTGTCTAGGTCGCGCAGGAAGGTTTCCGTGCCAGTGGTAGTGTTGACGCTTGCGTTCACGGCTTCTGGTAAATGTGGTTAGACTGTAGAACGGTCGAGAGGCGCTTGCGCTCCGACCATGACTGCCACTCGTTGTAGCCTGGCTCTTCCAGGTATGCGAGCTAGTTAAACGTTCGCGCAGATTGTCGAATGTGGTTGCCTGCGAGCTTTTGAAGGAGAACTCAGAGGAGCCTGAGACACTGTTCAGTATGACACTTCAGACAAGAGCAGGATTAGAGACACGCACGGTTGACTTTGTCAGTCTCCTCGTCACTCAAGCTTTTCCGTTTTCCCTTCGCCTTTGATCTATCTAATAATCGGGGACTGTCTTCCACCTCACTTGCACTGCTCCTTCGTGGCCGAGTGCCCCGCTTCACAGGCGTGTCCTCTAGAACACGTGAGAAGAGATCTTTGAGACTCTCTTTCGGACCGACGGATGGCGTGGGACTGAATCGTGGAGGCTCGAAGTCTGATTCAAATTCTGACGGGGAGGCAGGACGAGCGGCGGGGGGCGACTTGGAAGAGGAGGCTGGGCTGTCCGAATTCGGCATACGCGAGATGAGCGCGCGCAGTCGGGACGCGGCATCCAAAGGCGGCGGCGAGCCAGAGCCAGAGACGGAGTTCCCAGACCTCGGCCGAGGGGTAGGTTGTGTGTCGTCCGAGCTAGGACCAGAGGTGTGTTGACTGTGGCCATTCGAGAGATACGACGAAGGACCCGCCTCCGCGTTCGAGTCCGAATCCTCGTGAAAAGTTAACCGGTCTGCCACCGCGGATAAAGGTTGCCTCGGGATGCGCAGGCGGGGAACAGGCGGCTGAGCATACGGGCCTTCCATCGGTGAGGGGACAAGCTCAAGATGGGCAATAGCAAACTAAGTACAACAATTCACGCTGTCAATCATCGCACATGGCTTTGCGACCGCTACCAACACCGTGGCACCCTCTCTCAGCTCGGTATATTGAGCCCTCACGGACTTCTTTCCGAGCTCCAGTTGAAGATCGCCGACACCACAGGACGCAATTTTCAATTGCCCTGCGTCGTCGTCGAGCACCGCAGTAGGGAAGCCACGAGGTGGTATGGGACCCTCCGAACTCATGAAGGGCAGGGAAGCACTCGAGCAAGTTGATTCACAATCGTATCGACGTTCCAACTAAACAAACCCGGCCCGTCTACAAAGTCCATCGCCAATTCCGAGAGCCGTTGACCTTAAGCGGATGGTAGGGCACATCCAGCGTTTTCTTACCTACCGAGCACTTGACGCCTTGGACTGCCCTGTCTGAGCTATCAGAGCAGAGTCACCAGAGCCCATTTGACGGGACTTGGCTCGAGTCGATAATCACTTGTATACACTGAACGACGATACATGTTCCTCCTACACACTTACTGGGCCGCAGTCCCGATCCGAAACCTCTGGAGTTATGGAGTATACTGACATCCGGCCGGTGTGTTATCGGAAATCCAGTAATAGATGCTCGAAGCATCCGAGTACGAGCTCACTGTGGAAGAAGATTCAGACATGGCCGAATATCTGCCATACGAAAAATCTGCATCGGCGAGCTCGGCATCCCCATCGATATAGACGTAGCTTGGTCCTAGCGAGGGTAGGGAGTAGTCGGATGACTGGAAAAGATTGTCTGTCGTAAACGGAGCTCCCGCCGGATGCCACCCATCCAGATCCCAATCCTCCCCATCTTCCGTGTTACTGAGGAGGGTAGGTCGGTTGTGTGCGATCATGTATATGGGTCGAGGCATGTAGAGCTCTGACTCCAGTGTGGCATCGATAGGTCTCTGAACGGGTATTTTATTGCCAATGGGGGAGCGCCTCCTTCTCGTAGACTCCCGACTTGTTCGAACAGGACGTGCAGACTGAAGGATGGGTGTGTGATAATGTTTCTGCTTGCCGGCACTGGTCCGGGGGGCCCTCACACCAAATTGGCCCAGACGACACGAGAGTGTGGTCGCATCTGAAAAGTAAGCATATGAGGTCATGCGCAGCGATAGATAGATATACTTGCCCTCAACGCCACTGTATTGATCGCTCGAAACAACGCGGAATACGTCCGAAATCACAGGCAGGCCGCAGATGACAAACGACGAGCTGAGATAGTCAAACTCGGACTCGAGGCGTGCTTTCTGAAACTCACCCTTGCAAACGAAACAGAGTAAAGCACAAACGAAAGCGGCCTGTCGTGCGCACAGCCAGGTCTGGGAATGCAAAGTAATAATCATAGTTCCGAGTTTGCGCATAGTTGCAAGCGTGGACGGGGGTCACAGACAAAAGGCGAGCCCCGTCAAGAATCGGTCGCTTGTGCAAGTCCTGCACGTAAATAAGTGCATGCATCATATCGAGAACTCAAACTGACAGTGACGACTTGCTCATTATGTTCTTCGTGAAAGAGTTCCACACACATCGCATACACTGGAAGCTGGTATGGAAAAAGTTTGACCCTGATACCCGTCAAGAAAACTGGTAACGATGAATTGGAGTGACGTACGATTCAGAAAAACCCGTCGAGGATGGCTGCTCGAGATTCAACTGAACGACGGGGAACGGATCCAAAACCCTGCGCGCTTTAAGGGATCAGCAAAGGATGAATCACTGCAGATTTGGCTTTCAAACCTTTGGCCTGACCAGACGAACGTGCTTTCGAAGGCATTTGACGGATGGACAAGACATGGTCGCTAGACGCCAACATGAGACAATGTACGGTGAGAGTTTTTCTGAGACGAACAGATCCGTTACGTCGCAGACAAGAGACTCGTGTAAGGCCTGGCTCGGCACTGACTGGACCATGATTATGGGGTAAGAAGAATCGCGGCGAAGTTGGATATATATGCCCACGAAGATGGCTGCGCAAAGAACTCGCGTGCGATTATCACCATCTCCAGTATCCATCCGGCGAAGCAAGACGCCTTCATCCGGTCATTTTAGGTCGGCATCGGGGCCGCATGCAGTTGCTAAACTGGCGTATCAATGCCCCACGTTGTAGTGCGCCACCTCATGGTAATTGTAAAGAAAAAGGGTTTCCCAAGTTCCGTCATCGGGCCGTCGTCCTCATGTCGTTACGAGTCGCCAAGATGGGCATGAAACAAACGGCAGCATTGGAACGCTTGAAGGCTATTCGTGGTGACGACCGCGAATCCGTGTTGGTGGGAATGCCAGAAGTATCATGAGGAACAGAAAGGAGGACATGCGAGACCTTCTGTCGAGGATCCTCGGCATGCAAATTCAGCCACAATCTCTCTGCAGTCACGTCCCCTGTCTGGATCCAACACAGATCTCGACATCGTCCATCGGAGGCCCTTGAGCTTGTATGTCATGCTTGGCATCGTGCTCTTCCAACCTCCCCGTCTAGACCCGGTTTAAATGCGGCCCCAAGGCCTTGAGAGAACGAAGCCGGGCAAGTGCCGCATGCACTCAGCGCGCGCAAGAGATCGTGGACTCGAGCAAAACTGCACACCGAGACGTAACCTGTGCAGTAAGTGATCGAAGTGTATTGAGGGATGCCGTACTGGCTCGACTCTCTTCCTCTAGCCGTGTGACTGCGAGAACATCCCGAGAGTTTCGGATCGCCAAATTGCCACCTTTGCCACTTAGTCGTCAACTACGAAATCGTACGGGTTGAGTCAATGGCCATTCGAACGTGCTGCGGGCAACTTGAGCGTCGGGCGAAAGTTATGTAACGGCAGATTTTGGAGCCTTGAAGGTAGTCGTCAAGTGTGGGTACAGCGGCTGATTCGCGCCGTGACGGGCCGCTGCTGCTAGGCTGATACTCAGTCTAGGGGACCTGCAGTGCTGAGAGGAATTGGGGGCGAACGACGCCCGATAAATTGCCCACGATGATAGCCGTGCATCTTGATAAATGTAGATCTTCGAATCACGCAAGCGGCGTAGACAAGCAAGCAATGAAGACAACTTCGGAGGTAGAGTGAGACTCATCGTGAGAATTCGGACCGGGAAATCCCCAGCAGCGGAACTGATGATGGTGATTGGCAGGCGCCAAGAACGCAGCGCGCCATCAGCTCTCCTCCTTCCATCACGACATTCTAACCTCAAGGCGCCGCTGCACCCATGGCAGCTTGAGTTGCTGAGGCCGCCTGGTCTCCCCTCCTCAAGCATATTATCGTCATGGAATCCAGTGAAGAGTTGCAATTGCAAGAGCTCACCGTCCTCCAATCTATCTACGCTGAAGATTTTATCGAAACCCCGCCTCCCAAAGCGTGGAAAGTGCGTGTTGTCCCCGGGCCCCGGTTTCTTGCTTCCCAATGTTCATGACGGCGATACGGATATAGGGCGCGCCCAGACTTCATGAATTTACGATACGCGTGCCGCACCCCGACGGAGAGCACGCGAGCAAGATATGTTTCCATTTACATGTTATGTACGCGCGCTTGTCGATGACGGAACTCCTTTCCTCCATTCATGCAAACGACGTTCCAGATTTCCGAAAACCTATCCCACGAAAGCCTGCCCGACGTTCACGATTCAAAAGCCGATCGTTGGGCTGAGCAATGACCAAGTGACGTCCTTATCCCACGAAATACAACATGAGGTGAATCGATGCAAGGGAACTGAGATGACCTTCCAGGTACGCGTCATGCCCTTTGTTCTTTACCTGATCTTCCTCTTCACATCAATTTCCTTCCATTCTGACTCGAACCTGACGCCACTCCCAGATCGTCACGTTCTGTCAGGACTGGATGTCGAACCACGTCGTCCCGCCCGTCGAGGTCGCGGGCTCGCTCGCCAATCAGATGACGCAGCGCGCGATGGAGGAGGAGCGGATCCGCAAACAGCGCGAGGCGGACGCGGCGGAGCAAGAGACGGAGCGCGCTGCCCGGATAGCGCAGCAGTTGGAGGCAGTCGTCAAAGCCGACGCGCACAAGCAGGCACTGGCACGGGAGCAGCAGCATAGAGATCGTCAAAGGAAACGCGCGGGCTCCGAAGCCACGGAGGTTCCTGTCACCGGGGACACGCCGACCGAGACGTTCAGTGAGGCCGTCGTCGTGGACGGCATCACGTTCCACTCAGTCAACATCTTCCACCCACGTCCTGAACGTTTAGGCATATCCTATGCCGCTGATGCGATATGCGACGATGTAACGGCGTCATTGCCGATGCGATTGTTTATCGTCAGATTCCCATCCCATTACTACATTACGAGCCAAGGAAAGAAGAAGCTGAAGCAAGTTGAGGCTGAAGTGCGGAGGCTGATCACACTTCGGCATCCCAACCTGTTGCGGTTGTTCGCAGTCAAGCTTTCGTTCCCACACGCCGGTGCGCCGAAGCTGGCTGTGCTGTACGAAGCACCGCCGAGAGTAACTCTGCGAGATCTGCTCGAGGACTGTGACTGCATTAGAGAGGATCGGGTGTCGGTTCGTTAGAGCTATCTTCAGTTTCCTTCCTTGTTCGGCTTATTGTTGTCCAGGAATACCTCGTCCAAATCTTGTCTGGACTGAACAGCTTACACGTAGCTGATGTCGTCCATCGAGGTGTGCATGCGTTGCCTCTATGTAATTTGTCACTGATGCCAGCCTGCAGGTATATGCGCTGATACCATCGGGATTACTCCCAGACCACGAACGGTGAAGTTGATGAAAGCTTCTTTTCACACAAGGCTGCTCGACTTGCATCGATCGAATCCATTTGGGCCGGAGATCGCTGTTGATACGGAGGAGCCGGTCCTGCCTGACCACTGGTACGTCCCTCGGCTTTGGTTCTGCGTCTTGCTGAGATCGGCACAGGCTCTTCAAGGACTGGAAGAATGACTCGGCATTGGTCTATACTCGTCATCGGGACATGCATGCGGTTGGGATCGTGTTGATGCAGATGCTCTTGGGCTTGGATGTGACGGACCGCTACCCGGATGTGTACTCTGCGTTTCGGGCTTGTACGTAGACAGTGCACTACCGCCCCCCGCGTCGAGGCTAACCGCAGCCACCAAGCCACCATCTCCCCCTGCCTCCAACGGCAGGCCCTCAATCTTCTCTCTCCTTCCAAGAGGAATCCGGTCTCGTGCATCTCCGTCCTCGCGGACTTGGCTTCAGCCCCGCTCACTGCAGCGCTGCCTGTGATGAAGAGTCCGGTCGTCGCTGCCTTTGGCACGTACCGCCTGCTCATTCATCGTCGTATCCTATCTAATCGAGACATCCCCAGAACCTCGGACGCCGATGCCCGGCAAGTTTGGGTCGCCGGAGAATGACTATTTCATCCGCCCTCCCCAACGGGACCGACAAAGCAGCCGGTGGAAGGAAGATTGGGAGGAGCTGGAGCTGTTGGTACGTTCGCTGCCTGTGTCCTGCTTTTACAGTCTCAACTTCTGCAGGGCAAAGGTGCCTTTGGCTCTGTTGTGAAGGCACGGAACAAGATCGATTCGCGGATCTACGCTGGTATGTGTGCCATGTAAACTCACCACTGATCTGACCCATTGTCCAGTCAAAAAGATCCGACTGAGTACGACACACAGCGACATGAAGATCTTCCGCGAAGTGAATGCCCTGAGCCGACTGTCGCACCGGTTCATTGTGCGATACTTCACGACCTGGGTCGAGACCGCAGAGCATTCGTCCTCGGCTGCAGTCTCGGACGACTCCGAGTACAGCGACACTGGATCAGAGGACGATTCCGATGAAGATGACCGGATGACCGCGGGTGGATCACCGTGGCTGAGACGCGGCAACAAGAGGATCCTCTCGTCCAGCGGAGACCCAATTGCGTTTGATTTGGATGATCTGGATGATGTCGGTGGATCGGGGTCAAGGAGCTCCTTCCCCAGCATCCATTTCACACGCTCGTCGTCGCCTAGAGACGAGGAAGGGGGGAGTGAAGAGGAGGAGGAGGAGGACGACGACGACTCTGATTCGGATGATCCTTTTGTTTTCGAGCCGGATGACGCGACTCCGCCGCCCTCGACTCCGCCTGTGGTGGTGTCACGGACCTTGTATATCCAGATGGTCTGTGTATTATCTCGTGTCCACGTGTGTTGATATGCTCACGTGCTGGGCAGGAGTTCGTTGAGCGGCAGACGCTGAAGGAACGGATCGACGAGGGCCTGTCAGAACAAGAAGCATGGCGGCTGTTCCAGCAGATCCTCGAAGCGCTTGTGTACATGTCGTCCCTGGGAATCGTGTGTTCAAATCAGAGTTCGCGAGTTCCAATTCTCACCCGAGTTCCCAGATCCACCGCGACATCAAACTGACCAACATCTTCATCGATGCCAAAGGCGACTGCAAAATCGGTGACTTCGGGCTCGCGACGTCAAACCTCTCTGCGATGGAGCCGGCGAACCCGATGCTTGCCCCGGTAGTGCTGGATGCTGAAATGACGCTGGAGGTGGGGACGCGGCTCTACATTGCACCCGAAGTCCAGTCTCGCAAGCGCGGACCGCGTAACCATGCCAAGGCCGATATGTACAGTCTCGGGGTGGGTGCATCTCCGCTTGGCGTCGGCATGGGACTGACCCCCGTAGATTGTGTTCTTCGAGATGAACTACAAGTTCATCACAGGGTCCGAGCGCATCGCTGTGATCGAGGGACTGCGCCAGCCGCTGATACTGTTCCCCGCCAGCTGGGATGCGCGGTTGACCAGACAGAAGCAAAGTGGGTCTCTGTGTTTGTAGACTTCTGATGGGCTGATTGATCCCGTGTGCAGTCATCACACGCCTGTTGGACCATGATCCAGACACCCGGCCGACTGCCTTGGAGCTGTCGCAGAGCTCGCTGCTGCCGTCTCGCATCGAAGACGAGTATTTCAAGGGCGCGCTCGGCATGATGGGTGCGTCCCCGCGTCCGTGGACGATAATCCACATCTGACCACTCACGTGCCTCGCTTGCTCTGCAGTCAAGGCCGACTCGCCCCACTTCCAATCCGTGCTCTCCTCGCTCTTCAGCCAGCCGCAGCCGCCTGCGCGCAAGTTCCTGTACGACATGGAGTGCGATCTCCCGGAGCACGCCTCGCTGAACGAGATCGTGAAGGAGCGCCTGACGCACATCTTCCGCCTCCACGGCGCGGTGGACTTTGAGCCTCCGCTGCTGATGCCTGTGGTTGATCCGGAGGATAGGAAGATCGGACGGGCTGCGTTCATCGACCGATATGGCGAGATCGTGGCCCTCCCTCCGAATCTGCTGCTTCCGTTTGCCAGACTGGCGGCCAAAGGTGGGATTTCGAGGATCAAGAGGTACCACATTGCGAATGTCTACCGGGAGGGGTATGTCTCTGCAACTTATCACTCGACTCGTCGTTCTGATCTCATCTTATCAGCGACGTTGCGGGCCACCCTAAGTTCCAAAAGGCAGCGCTGTTCGATATTATCTCGACGGACATGGCCTCTGGACCGCTCGCGTCGTCTGCGGAGATCATCGCCGTTGCAAACGACCTTCTGGACAGTTTCCCGAATCTGACAGACGGATATGAGATCCACATATCGCATTCCTCGAGTAAGTGTGTGACGGCGTGTTTGAATCGTGGCACTGATGATTTGGCAGTCGTGCGGATCATCTGTGAGCGCATTCCCGCGGATGTGCGGATGTCGATCATGGATATCGTTGGCAACAACAAGTCGTCGACGTCGCAGAAGAGAGCGCTGCTGCTCAAGAAGGGATTGCTGAGGAGCACTGCCGATGAGTTGGAGACACTGGCAGATCCCGGTGAGGGCCGTTTGCGGCGCTCTCTGGCTTGAAAACTCACCGGAGTCAGATGACGATATCGACACATTCCTCGCCAAACTCGACAAGGTGTCGTCTTCGTTGACCAACCTGCTGCGGCCGCAAGTGGAGGAGATCAAGGAGATCATCCATTACGCGACCGTCGCCGGTGTAACGCGTCCTATCATGTTCCATCCGTTGATGCTGGGAAACCACCACGCCCATTACAAGGACGGGATTCTGGTCGAGGTCGTGCGCAAGTCGAAGAGGACGGATGTTCTTGCTGCGGGTGGTCGGTGCGTCGTGCTCTGCGCTGTGCGATACCCCCCGTTCGTTTGCTGAAGCTAGCTGGTATCCAGATATGACCACATGATCTCCGAACAAGCCACGCCAGGCCAGAAGCTGGAGTCGATCTGTGCGATGGGCCTGCAGATTGCCGTGGAGAAGATCACCGTCGCGCTGGCCGCGTACCAGGCGTCGTCCGTGCGCGCGCTCGTCAAGCAGGAGCGGTCGTTCGGATTCTGGAGCCCCCGGCGCTGCGATGTGTACGTCGTCTCGTACCATCCAGGCTATCTGCAGGAACGGCTCGAGGTCGTGGCGTTTCTCTGGGCGCACGGGATCAGCGCGGATCTGATGTACGAGTCGGGCGTCGCGGATGTCGAGAACGAGGACATATGCGCGCGGGAGGGTGTCCTGTTCTCGGTCTACCCGCGCTCTCGCCGCGACCAGCTGGCGTTCAAGGTCAAGAGCATCCTCAAGGGAACCGAGTACGAATGTGCGCGTGTTTGTCCTCGATTGATCGATGCCGGCTCACCCTCTCTCCCTCTCCAGTGACCCGCCAGGAACTCATCGGGTGGCTGCAACAGCAGATCGCGGAGCAGAAACGCATCGATGCCAGCACGTCCGGGGCCCTGCGGTTCACCGACGTCCCGGGTGCGAGCGCCGCCGCTCCCGTCGTCGAGAAATCGGGCGTGCAGCTGCTCCTTCCGCCCGTGGACGTCAAGAAGCAGCGCAAGCACGTGAAACAGCTCTTCATGGACCGCGGTATGCCCTCCCCGCACATACCCATGCCCGTGCCCGTGACTGACTCATGCCTTTGCTCTCCAGCGTTCGAAACGGGTGTGGAGATCGAGAGCGGCGTGCACGACGGGATGCCGATCCTCGCGATCGACGTGCCGCCCGCTGCGTTCGATGCGATGACGCGGAGCAGCGCGTGGGTCGCGCAGGACGACGAGGCGTGGAAGGCCGTCGCGGGGATGCTCCCGCAGTGGGCGTACGCGCAGCAGATCCGCGACGCGGTCGCGAAACGCAGGAGCGAGGGCTTCAAGTACATGCTGCTGTTTGCGGTGCGCGAGGAAAGGGTGCAGCTGCTGAAGCTGGCTGCGTGATTTTTGTTTGTTTGTTATGTGATATGGTCGGATTTGCATAGATCGACGGCTCAGTGTATTTTACTTATATCATGCATTTACGACTCGACCGGCGGTTGGAGATTCAAATTCGACGTGGTGAACAGGTCCAGACGAGGCAGCCACGAGCACTGGTTCACTGACACCCTCCATCTGCGATAGCTGGCCTGTATTCACTCTGGATTAATAACGCTGAAGTTATGGTTTTGTATTCGTCTACTTGTAACGACACATGTGAGATGCCATCAATGGTTGCAGAGAGATCTAACCGAGTCCTACAGCTCCCCATACATCCACTCCTCCTCATCCACAGCCCCCGCCCTGCTCTTGAGCTCCGAAAGAGCGCTCTGAAACTCTGCCGCCCTCATCAGGCGCCGAAAATCAAGCGCAGTCCGACGCACACGCACCTTTCAGCTTGTCCTCCAGACCCTCCGTCGAAGCCGATGCGCCCTGCTCGTCAATCCAGCGCACGTGCTCCCGCACGAGGGCCAGGATCTCCTCCTTATCCACATCCTTGAGCCTGTGACCCGCGCCGCCCTCGCCCTCGAACTCGCTCCGGGTGCCGAACACCAGCGACGAGAGCGTGTTGAGCGTCTCGATCCGGCGGCGGTGCTCCTCGTCCTGCGCCGCGAAGCGCGCGCTGTCCGCGAGCATCTCGTCGATCTGCGCCTGCGACAGGCGCCCGCCGCTCGTGATCGTGATGCCTTTCTGGTTGCCGCTGGTAGATGGTCAGTGCGTGCGCGGGAGCAGACGAGAGTGAGGGCTACGCACGTGCCCTTGTCCACCGCGTTCACGCTACGGGGAACGTCAGCAGACGCAGACAACAGTCGGAAAGGAGCGAGGGCTCACGTGAGAATACCATTCGCATCGACCCCAAAGGTGACCTCAACCTGCGGGACCCCTCGCGGCGCCATCGGAATCCCGGATAACGCGAACTCGCCGAGATGGTTGTTGTCCTTGGACATCTTCCGTTCGCCCTCGTACACTTGTATCAACACGGTCTCCTGGTTGTCCGCCGCGGTCGAGAATCTGTGCACGGGTCACTAACGCGTCAGTTACAAAACCGGGGCCATGCGCACACTTGAGATTTCCTCGTCGGGATCGTCGTCCCGCGGGGGATTACCGGGGTGAAGACGCCGCCGGTCGTCTCGATTCCGAGTGTGAGTGGCACGACATCGACGATGAGTGCGCCGGTTTCCTCGCCTGCGAGGACCCCGGCTTGGACAGCGGCACCGAAGGCCACTGCTTCGTCGGGATTGATGCCCTTCGACGGCTCCTTCCCAAAGTACTGCGTCAGAATCTCTTGCACTTTGGGAATCCGAGTCGATCCACCGACGAGGACGATCTGGAGCAAGTTGGGGTCAATGAAGGGCAACGACAGCAACACACTCCTGCGGACCTGATCGATCTGCTCTTTCTTGATGCCGGCGTCCTTCAGAACACGCTCAATGGGCTTCATCGACCGCCGGAACAGGTCCATATTCAGCTCCTCAAACTTGGCCCGCGTCAGCGTCTCCAGCAGATCGTTCCCATTCTCAAAGCTGTCGATCTCGATCGTCGCGCTCTGCTGCGTCGACAGCACCCGTTTCGCTCGCTCGACCTCCCGCTTCAGCTTCCCCATCGCGCGCGCGTTGTCCGTCACGTCGGTGCCCGTCTTCTTTTCGTATGCCTGCACCAGGTGATCCATGACGCGGTGGTCAAAGTCCTCCCCGCCGAGATGGGTGTCGCCGGCGGTCGACAGGACCTCGAACACGCCGTCCTCGATCGAGAGCAGCGAGACGTCGAACGTGCCTCCGCCGAGATCGTACACGAGGACCTTGCTTTCGCCGCCTTGTTTGTTGAGCCCGTAGGCCAGTGCAGCGGCGGTCGGTTCGTTGAGGATCCGCAGGACATTTAGCCCAGCGATCGTCCCTGCGTCTCGAGTCGCTGAACGCTGAGCGTCGTTGAAGTCTGTCATCAAAGGCCGTAAGACTGAGCTGTTTGCACAGGCAAAGCTAGGCTTACATGCCGGGACAGTGATTACAGCGCGGGTGACCTGTGTGCTTTAATCAGGCGATGCAATCGTCGGCAGCCAAGGCGGAGCCCACCTTCTCGCCGAGATACGCTTCGGCCGTCTCCTTCATTTTGGTCAGCACCATGGCACTGATCTCTTCCGGAGTCTGCACTGGTGTCAGGGCATCAACGACCTCGGCCACGGAGGACACGCACGAAGTCCCGGGTCTCTCCTTGATACCGAATCGAGATCGCAGGTTTCCCGTCCACGTCGTTGACCCTAAAAGGAAAGTGCTTGACATCCGACTGGAGCTGCGGATCGTCCATAGTCCTCCCGATGAGCCGTTTCGCGTCGAATACCGTGTTGCGCGGGTTGTTGTGGAACGCGCTCTTCGCGCTGTCGCCGATGCTGCGGCGTGATGGGTCCAGGGTGAGAGGATGCTTGGAGTTCGGAAGAGTGGCTTACAGGCGCTCGGTGTCGATGAAGGAGACCCACGACGGAGTGATGCGGTTTCCTTGGTCGTTTGCGATGATTTCGACCTGGCCGTTGCGCAGAATGCTGTAGGTCGTTGGTCAGTCACGATCGCCTCAATTGGTGAAGAGTCAAAGCACAACGCACCCGACGCATGAATAGCTGGATCCAGCGGAGAAAATAGGTATTAGCAATGGAGAGATGGGGTGTAGGGTGGCTCACGTAGTCCCGAGGTCTATTCGATGCGGGGATTGTCAATAGCTGCCATGATCCACTCATACCAGCCACTCACCAATGCCAATAACTGCGCCATTGTCGCGTTTCTCAGCGTTCTCTTGCCCCTCCGCCTTGACAGAAACCGGGCATAAACATATGAGGGCCAAGAGCGCGAGAAAGATGAAAGCGGCTGTCGTCAGCGTGGATCGCGCCTGTGTGCGGGTGAGGCGACGCCGACGAGCGAGGTGCTTGAGTTGGGACATGGGAGTGTGTTTTTAGGTGGTGGAGGTGAATTGTAGCCATTGGTCATTCAAGCAAAGGGCTTTTGTATTACAAGTGAACGAAGCAAGACGTGTCGAGTGCAGATACGTGTTCTAGGACACGTCGGCTGAGCAGAAGGTTGCCAAGCATTGAGGTGCGGGAAATGACAGGAACTGACTCGAAGAGATCGTTGTGGAATGATCTAGAACCTCCCAGCTCAATGCGGCTCATGTGACATGTCGCCCACAGATGAGAGTGGATCAAGCTGTGCAGTCCACGGAGATGATATGGATGAATGATGATATGAGCCTAGTTGATGGGGTCCCGATCTGTAGCTCAATGACATCAGCCAATTCAATGACGGTCACGTGATCGCGAGCCGCCATCATCTGGGAATCGGATGCCCTACTCTTACCGCCCGTCTTTCTCACTCACAAGGTCTCCTTGGAAGATACTTACAACCGCGGTGGGAAATGGCACGTGCGCTATCCATTCCTGACCCTAGCATGGCTCCGTCTTGACATACCAGCAGTGGAAAGCAGAAGAAACTGACTGTTCCCAATCGCAAGCGCTTGACTGACGAACAACCGGCGAGATGATTGCGGTGATTGAATACGGCAATCAGCGACGGAAACATCCTCCATCCTAATCCAATTTCAGGCTCATGGCCCATGTCTGTGGAGAAAAGCAAAAAAAAAATCAAACAAGAGGAAAGGAGAAAGATCGAGGGAAAAGGGAGGTTACATTATAATTCATGTTTGATAATGGGACTTTTTGAGCAAAATATCGTACTTATCATGGATTGTACAGGCTGTATCGCGAGAGTGGCTCAAGGTCAGTGACTTTGAAAACACCTGATGTCGGAATTGATGCGATGCCCCGAGTCTATTCGGGGCAATATCCTCATTTGGGCTAAGGTCCAGCCAATGAGAATCAAACAATTCTCGCAACAGGCGGGTCGGAAAATGCCGCCTCCGAGATCGCCCGTGATTACCGTTTTCGCGTCATGACAACATCATCCCACGTGCATCGATCACTGTTCAAGTTCTGTTAAGTGATAGAGAATGAGAACTTATCATGTTGACTAAACTACTTCTCCCACATATGCTGTCTATAACTATTATCTGGATTTTTATAGAATAAGCCGGAGATCGTTCGTAATCACTAAGTAAACTAAGTAAGCTTAGTAGTGATAAGTAATGGATCTCGTATGCCCCACAATAAGCCCGAACCCCGATATGACCCATGTGCTTGGTGCCTCGGGGGAATAGATGCGCGCAGAATTTGTTCTGTGGAGCGGCTGAGTTCTGTAATCATTGAAGACCATCCTGTGCTAAGTATGCGCTATACTTGAGTTTCAAAGCGTGTTGCTCAAATGTTGCTCAAATCATTTTTTTAACTGGGAGAACCGGGACCTTGGGATGAGTCAATCCATGGTCAATGACACAATTCGAAATCATTGTACGGTTTCTAACAATCTGCATCAAATGGCCCCCAAAGTTATCTAAGATATTCAAAATTTGCAACCGGTCGGACTCGAACGTCCAGCTCCTTGCGTGACTGCCGAGATGCCGAACACACAGCCACATAGCCTATGTCCATACTGGGTACTTGGGCTCCACAGGCATGACGCACGAGCCCAATTTCATCACACCGGGGGATCATTAAAAAAAGGTGCCCCAATCAAAGATTTATATTTTCAGTATTGTAGTACAAAAACTATGCTACGATAGGTTGCCCAATACTTTTAATATAATCTGCCATCATCGGTTACCTGTTATATCAGCTATTGCATCCCAAAACGGGACCTACAATTGATTGCATATTAGGTCCGATCAAGACCACGTTTTTTCTTGTCCTTTTTTGTAAGATATCAGGGCTCATTTATATTCAAGGTATGGTGGCATAATTTATTGGACTCAATCTCTCACAAAATGGGTCTAGATCAATGGCTCAGATATCTGAGCTATTGCGGCCCGAGAACAGTCTGCCCAGATATCTCTGATATTGGGGTAATTTTTTTCTATCAGTCGGTGGCAATGTGCACCAATATCAGAGATATCTGGGCAGACTGTTCTCGGGCCGCAATAGCTCAGATATCTGAGCCATTGATCTAGACCCATTTTGTGAGAGATTGAGTCCAATAAATTATGCCACCATACCTTGAATATAAATGAGCCCTGATATCTTACAAAAAAGGACAAGAAAAAACGTGGTCTTGATCGGACCTAATATGCAATCAATTGTAGGTCCCGTTTTGGGATGCAATAGCTGATATAACAGGTAACCGATGATGGCAGATTATATTAAAAGTATTGGGCAACCTATCGTAGCATAGTTTTTGTACTACAATACTGAAAATATAAATCTTTGATTGGGGCACCTTTTTTTAATGATCCCCCGGTGTGCATATGACAGTGTGGAGAGTGATCACTACTCAGCCGATGTATCCCTGCACCAGGCCTTTCCAGCAGTCAGAGATTTGCATGTGGGCACCTTCGCAGACCTCGAAAACCACATCTCCGCGTTCGTCCAGCTTCCTCAAACCGATCCAGTCTTCCAGATACAGAGGCTGCTCACGCATGGACAGTCCCTGGCGCAGAACGCGCTGGTTATCGTACAATGACGTCTCGTCCTGCGAACCAAACCAGGCACTTTCTGGCGGGACGACGGTTTTCTCTTCGGAGAACTTGACGAGCACGAGTTTGTTGAGCGAGGCGAAGTTGCGGGCATAGGTTTCATTACGCGTCTCGACCAGTTCGTTATTGATGTCAGGAAGGAAATGATTCGCGGCGAGATACTCTTCGAGACTCGCTGGGTCGCGGAAGTATTGGGCCTGTGAAGCTGAGTGAGGCCGGCTTGGATATGATTAGAAATGAGAAGAGTATGTACCTGAACAAGATTATTCTGAGCCCATGTCCCATAGACAGCGCCTTTCACGGCCCGCCTGGCAATCTGGCACAGGAAGTCGCGAGGTGAACACGCCGCGATGTCGGAGACGCCCATGTGCTGCGAGCCGAACGTGATTAGGTTGTTCACCGGGGGTTGGTTGTAACGTTCGATGTATGCGCGTAGGAATTGTCCCCCTGTGGCAATGACCCGTTCGATTGCAGCAACACACCAGAGAAACTCTGTGACCCACCTTGAGAGAAGCCGATGGCGTCAAATCCGCCCTTCAGTTCAGGAATGGCGGCCAGTTGGTCCGAGACTAATTCGATTTGCTCGTTAACGTTTCCGTACTAGAGTTACGTTGAATAATCGGGAGAAAGTCAAGTACGAGAGACGACGCACAAAACCAGCGCGCTTATCCTCGTCGTCGTTCTCACTGATGAACACGTTGTGTACAAAGATGCCGGGGTGCACGGCCTTGACTTCCTCGGTGAACTGCAGCATCCCGGCGGACTGGGCGGAGTCTCCTGTTGAAGATGAGTCTTGTTGGCCGATATACACGGTTGCTCAAACCTGCCTAGCCCATGCCATACTACTAAAGGGCGCGGAGAGCACAGGACGCACTCGAGCAATAGAAAGGTCGCAATGAGGAAGGCGGGGAAACGAGACATGACATCTGCGTGGCCGTGCTTGATCGCTAATCAAGCAGACACGCCATCATTTGACCGCGCGCCGACAACAATCCGGGCCTACGCACTCTGCTCCAATGGAGGTCCCGTTCTCATCGTCCAAGGCGGTCAATCGCGCGCACTACGCCTTGGTTAGGGATGTCGAATCGTCTGCGTCACCGGAAATAGCGGACAGCTATATCCTGAAGGAAATGCGATCCATCCAATCCCGGCTGCGCTACCCCAGCATCTCTCTCGTGAGCTTCACGCACCGCTCGGGGGTCAGAAGCGCTGAATTGACGCGTTTACGTAGAAAGAGACGCGCGACTGTCTGATCGTGCTGCTCTATTGCGCGGGAACCTCAACGTCGCTGCCTCGTGGAACGATGGATTTCGCGCTGCCACAGGCTGCGAATCTGGCCCAAGTCGGAAATTCGGTGGCAGAGAAGAGAATAGGCATGTGCATGCAACTCCACCGCTCCATCTAGTCGTGCTCATCATCGTACGGCCGACAGGATACCTCTTCTGTGCTGAGATCATGACGGAGGACCATGAACTGAGGCTGCTACTCGTCAATACCCTGCGCAAGGTTCTCCGCCGTGATGCAGCACTGCGTGCTTTGTACTCATCTCTGCTCCTAGGACCTTGAATCCGATGCCGCGGCAACCATATGCCTTGCTTTGGATAACCTGATATCCTCGCCTTCCGATGCAGTAATCCCTGCGATCCAGTCCCGTCTGAAGGACCTCCTCTCCCATCCCTCGTCAGTATGTGCTGCTCGAGGTGTCCTTTGGGAGAAACTGACTTGGTCTGAAACGAAACAGGCCGCACATACGACGCAGGGCACTCGCCGCCTCCGCTGCTCTGGCGCGTTTCGAGCCAGAAATCCTGAAAAGCATCAGGTGCAAGGTTCTCAAGCGGCTGCGTGATCCTGATCCTGCGGTTGTGTGCGCCGCTCTGAATGTGTCTGCGAAGCTTCACGAGGTGGGGTGCTTCTGTATTTCCTTAGTTGTTTTGACCCCGGTAGCAGATTGACGCATCGGCGGGAGAAGATCTGCGCGGTGTCCTGAACGAGCTGCTCAAGTCGTTCTGGGAGGATGTCGGTCGGCAGTCGGTTCGATGCAATCTGTTGCAGACACTGCACTTGCTACGCAAGTTTGGGTGCGCAAACCCATTTTTCATGTATATTATGATTCTAATGCTGATCTTGAGGCTGGACGAAGTCAATCTTGGGCTCGTGCTGGAAATCATCCATCAGACATCAGTGTCTGGGGATCATCGTTAGTCCCCCCACAATGAACGTTCTCATAGATTGCTGACTTTAGGTAGCTGTCATGTGCGGAGCTTTCCTCAATCTCTCCGGGAGAGATCCGGCCAGCCTGTTGAAAGCTCAGACGTCGGAGAAACTTTCCCCCATTTCTAACATCCGGGCGTTGCTCAATTCACAGAGCGTGACTGATCACTACATATTTCTTTCGTGCCTGACGTGCTTACCCCCGAGTCTTTGGTCCGGAAGTGAGCCCGATTCGCCTGCGGCATTCGATGAATGGGAGGTTGGAAGAGTGATGGCCTTGCTTGACTCTCCAGACGCAGCTATCCGACAGAAGGTTCTGAATCATCTCTCGTATCCCCAGATAACTGACTGTTTCCCTAGACTTTGAGGATACTGAATACCATTGACGATAATATCATCAACTCGTATTATCTTCGATGTCTACAGACTTTCCCCATCGATCTGCCGGCGAATATGCTCTCAAACTATGCCGCCCGTTTCCTTCAGATTATAGAAACGCAAACGGATGGAGATGGGGAACTCTATGCCCGATTGCTGATCGACTTGTTCACGCAAATGGAGGCTCGATCTCCTGCTTATGCTCAGATTGTTATCGAGTCCGCTGTGGAAGGAATTCTATCCCATATCAGGGCTGGTCAGTCACTCCAGTGAAATGTTTTCGTTTGCTGAGACATATCTTCCAGCTTCCACCCCGTATCAGATTGGTTGCGCCACTGTGCTGTTGACCTCCTGCGCCGATCTTGAGAAGTACTTCGGCCAGACCATGATGGTGATCTTGTCTGCACTGTCGACAGAGTATGCAGGGGCGTTGGTGGTTCCTGCAATTGAAATTCTAAGTGGGATTTCGACACGGCTTTCTTCCTGCATCCGTAAGTATCGCAGTGCTTACTTCCATGCGTGCTCCTCAGCACCCTTCTAGCTGCGGTTCAGGACGCTTGTCTCTTGGCAATGATGCGATTGTCTGCAGACTGCGAGCGAATGCCTTCTGAAGTTCTGGACGGCGTCGGTGGTCTGGCCAAACAGTGCAGTCGCCATATCCGACGGGTTTGTGTGTCTTCTCCCTGTGCTTGGCAACGTCTAAAGTCCAGCCAAGCGGTGTGCAGAGTTTATTTCACTCTCTAGCCGCGAAGACGATTTGGCCGAGATCGTTCGAAGCGCAAACTCGTCTGCGGTAAAAGACCTATCCGTGCTTTTAGCCATTGCTCACCGGTGTCGCCAGTTGCCAGATTTCCTCGAAGCACTTATCGCATATGAGAATCGAGCTGCACCGACGTCCGAGGACAAACCGGCGTCGGTATCGAAACCGGCTAGCCTTCCAAAGAACAGACTGAGATACGAGGCTTACGAAGCCCCGAAGACTACACCTCGGCTCAGGGACCGCCCCGATCTTGCCAAGAGCTCTTCACGCTCAGCCAGCTCATCCGGCCCTCGAAACTCCTCAACTGCAGGAGACTTGGCTGCCACGCCGCAGCCTACAGAACTTCGGATGGCAACAGATCTAATCGCATTTCATGATTCGCCTTTCGCCTCCGATCCTGACACGCCTGATTTTGCTAATGTCTGGGATTCGTTGGATGAGTCTAGCAGCGCTCGGGGCTGGTGTGATCTCTCGCTCGAGGACGTGAATAAGCGTCTGGAAAGCCTTGATATTCTAGTCATCCCTGCCGAGACAGCCCCGTTCCCAGGCAAGTAGACTTCTACATCTCGAACTGTTCTTATGTCTTGGCAGGCGAGGTCAAGGTTCTCATGAATGGAGACTCTGGAAGTCGGCCGATCGGCGCATTGCGGCTGAAAGCAAGTGAGGAAGGTGGATGTTTGTGGCGCTTTCGTAGTGGAGATGCGCAGCTCCGGGTCCGGGTCAAGCGTTTACTCGAGTAGAGTTGTATATTGCTCTGCTATAGTCATACATACCTGCGCCCGCCAAGTCAAGCCAACGGAGACCGTCAGTTCTAATCGCTATATCAGTCACAACTGGTCAGTGTCGGCATGCCATCAGCGCTATTTAGCGGGACTTGTGCCAGTGGGTCGCTATTTGGCAACCTGTCTAAAAGCGGAGCTATCTTCATTTTTTACCGTCACGGTCTCGGTTGCTTCAAGCCAGCACTGACGTCCCTCAATCTATGAATCGCCGCCCTCTACCCTGGTGGGTTCTTCACGTTGTCCGCAGAACCTCATCTGACGGCGATTCAAAGCCTGACACAACAGATTAACAACATTCTCTTCGGCCCACTTGCCTGCCCCCTCCTCAGCACAGACCGTCCTCCTTAAAATCCCACCCCTTGCATCCCTTCGTTGCCTCTCTGACTGATGGGATAATTGCACCTCACTCGCCACTGCTGAAAACATAGACGTTAACCTCCTTAGAAACCTTTGGAACCCATACTTCCCAACCCATTCACACTCGAAACATATCTATCTATCCCCCTCAACCAACCACGATGATCAACGCTATTAAAGCACCCTCTTTCCTTCGGCCGACCAGCCGGCCGTCGTCCCCTGCGCCGCCAGCAGCCTCAAATCCGAGGTCCGAGTCGATGGAGCGCGCCGCACGTCCTTTGACGAAGTTATCGTCACTGAGCAACTTCCGACGCCCCTCCCCCGCCTCTGGCCCTCCTCCGACCCCAGCGCCTGTCCCTCTGGTACAGGACGGATCATATCTCGAGACTCTGGCCCTGAAGCTGAGCGAAGCGGTCTCCAAGGCGCTCGCCAATCCAGTGGGGCCTCTTGGCACCAATGATGCAGTCAATGGGAAGCGACCGATTCCTACGGGACGAGGTCGCGCTCTTGGATCGTTTATCTCAGCGTGCGTCTGGTCTTCTTTGATGTGTACTGTTATCTGTGCTTAACGCCGTCGGACGTTCTAGAGAGCTGGGTGCCACGCGTGATAATCCACACCTCAATCGAGCCATTATCCGGTCCTTGCTTCGACCGCTATCGGTTCTACTGTCGAACCTCTCTGCGCATCTTTTGCCTATCATCTCATCGCCTGCGTTCCTTTCTCCCCCAGCTCCGACGTTGCAAGCGGCGGCTCCCAATGCGACTCAGCTGCATGCGCTATCTGTCGCTGGATTTGCTGGAGAAGTCCTCGAGGTTTTCGATGATCTGGGGCTCGGATTGGACGGAGACGCTCGCGGCGATGGGCTGAAAGTGATTCGGGAGGGTCTCGTCTCCATCGTCAACCGTGTGGTCAGTCCGCTGGTGGCCGGAATCAAGCACGAAATGATGCTTCTGCTTGATGCTTTGGAAACACCCAATAGCCCCAAGATGGCGGCCGGTGCCAAGAATGCACCGGTCCTTCACCCTTCTATCGTGGTTCTCACGTCCGTGATGCCGGTTTACGCTCGAGCATTGACCCGATATTCTGCCTCGCGGTGTGCTCAGGCTCTGCTGGCGCCATTTGTGATTTCTGTTGTTTGGCGAGGCTTGGTGGCATTGGCCAGCCGACCCATCGGTGCTTTGTCTCCACCGTCGCCAAACCTGCTTCCTGTTCATCAGGGTCACTCACCATCGATCACACCCCCTGTGACGCCTCCATCTGCCAGATTCACAATCAAGCTTCCGCCGTCGCGTCCGCCGTCTCCGCCGTCTGCGGCCGTGCCGGCGTCAGCTGCTGCCGATGCACGGGCTCTGTATGAGCTCTTGTCGACACTGCCGCGGCCTGTGAGCAAATCCGAGAGTGCGCGGGTGGCGAACGAGGCCATCGAGGAGGCGTTCGAGGGACTGAAGGCGTTTGCGCCCTTCTTCGATGCAGTGCAGGCGAATCCGAACTTGCCGGAAGAGCAGCTAGATGCTCTTACCGAGGAGCTGCCGACTTTGGTCGCGCTTTGCGTGCTGCTGCATGTGCACTCCGGTCGGTCCGTCGCTGACATGCTCGGCCTCGCCGAGGAAGATTATAAGAAGGCGTGTTTGTCGGGATTCGGACGTGCCGAAGAATGCGCTTCGGCCGTTGGCCAGCGCGTTCTCCATATCATGCGACGAGAAAGCACTTCCCCAGCCGTGATCGTGGAGTGGCTCGAAGACGAGCTTGCTGATATCGCGTCTGGTCATTGACTATCTTTTCCTTATTCTTTTTTCACCTATCGTGGTTGTATTCCAGTACAGTACAGTCTCATTTATCTGTGGGCTATCAATGCGATTTTCATTCATATGCGCATGTTCGCTCACCGATCAGAGCACACAATACTCGGCTATCGAGTCGAATGAAGTGAGAGCACCCTGTCGAAATCATGTGATCGCGATTACGCTTGCCTGGCCACTTGATGGAACTCCGACTGGTATACCGGGTTTTGAGACAAATATCCGACTGGGCGCTTGTGGGCTACTACTCCGAAGTCCACGTTGACGCTGGCAAGGATCCTGATGCCTTGCGAGGCGTGCCCCTCATCGTGTTGGTGGCCCGCACACACTGCAACGCGAATCGCACTCACGCTAGCCCAGAACGCCATGTCACCACAACGAGCTTATCGACATCGCGACCCTGGGTATGCTCATCCTGTCCCGCTGGAGTTACCTCTACTCAACCCGCATCAGCCGCAACGATTCCGCATCGCCGTATGGTCTCCTTCTGGGCTAAATCGACCATGTTCAAACACCCCGTTCTGGGCCCCATTCTGACGTCCTCCGGCGCCATACCCGTCCGACGCAACCCAGACAAAGCCGACGCGGCGGCGTCGAATGCAGACCTGTTCGATGCCTCTACCGCTGCGCTGGGGCGGAGACAGGTCATCGGGATATTCCCTGAGGGCACGAGTTACACGGAGCCGGCAATTATGCAAATTCTCAGCGGCGCGGGATGGGCTGCGCTTGAGTTCATGCGCGCTCAAAACGGAGTGGGAAAGATGGAGCCGGTCATCGTCGTGCCCGTGGGGATAGTGTACACGGACAAGTCAAAGTACCGAAGCCGAGTGAGTTTACCCCTGCACTCTTAGGTTCATGGCCTGATGGATACACCCAGGTCTGTGTCAGGTGCGTCGTCTGGACTGATTACGACAATCAAGCCTCATGGTACCCCCACTTAGATACGGCGTCCCCATCGACGTAACCAAGTATATGCCAGCAGAACTTTTCGAGGCGCCTCCGGATGCGCAAGCCGAACGCGCTGCAGTGAAGGCACTGATGAAAGACATTGAGGATCAAATCGTACAGATGACCATCAACGCGCCAGACTGGTTCGTCCCCCCTCTGTGATGAACCGCTCCGTATCCATTTGCTCACGCGTCTCAGGGAGACCTTATATTCTGCCCGAATAGCCCGAAACATTCTCTGGAAAGATGAGGGAGCGATACCACTCAAAGACTGGATCATCGTCAACCAAACGTTCGCAGGCACCTCCCCGCCTCGATTTATGCTGACTGCTCGTTCAGACTGATCGGTTTTCTATCTTCTGAATATGAAGGCTCACCAGAAGTCAAGCATGCCTTGACTCGATACTTTTCGCTGCTTCACCGCATTGGTATAAGTCATGCAGATCTTGATTCTCTCGTTCCTACTGCTTCAGGTCGCCCGTCGCGTGCTTTTGCATTCCGATTCATTTTCACGGTGGTTAGAACGCTGGTTCATCCTTCTTTCCTCCTATTCGTGCCTTCATTCATCACATATCTTCCTGCGTACATATTCGCAGCGCTAGGCTCGCGTTTGCCGCCACCCGGTGAGGAAGAGTCCCAGTCGCAATTCAAGACTATCATCGGGGGTTTCGGGATAGGGGTGGGTGTCGGTCTGAGCAGCTTTTGGATCACCAAAGCCCTCGATCGCTTTGTTGAGCATGCGATTGGTCGGTTTCCTGCGATGTGGCTTGCGACAGCCTACTTCCTTGTGAAGCTGCATAGTGCATTGGTTGACAGTGAGTGCGAAGATATCGAGAGATACGTATTCTGACAACCGATGGAGGAAACTTCCAGAGGTACAGCTGCCCCATCTTGGTCTTGCTTTGGTTCTGATGCGCTCAGGCTTCGTCGACTGTCTACTGCGACCAAGATCCTGCTCGGGATATTCCAGCCTCGCTCCTGGGATCTGCCTGAGAGCAAGTTACCGGCCTATGAGAAGCCCCCTGTGCCTGCCGGAAACGGATTCCTCAAGAAACACCACGAAAGTTCTGGGACTCTGCGGGGCAAGGCGTGGCTCAAAGCTCAGCCTCCGGCGATTCCAGCCACAAGAATGATATTCCATCTCTTGGCTGCTAGACAGGGAGCTCTCTCAGCCCTTGCTTCGTATGCTGGACGAGAGACGCCAGAAAAGCGCAAGTTGGAGCAATTAGGCGCAGTGTTTCGGCACCCATGAGTTCAGGTAGAGACTTTTGGAGTCTTTCATCGCCTGCAGTATTGTTACATCCGTGTCGTCCGAGACCCGTCAGAGACAGGTCTCTTCGAATTACTGTTGTTCGGAATCTTTGTGAACCCTGGACGATCTCCACCGTTCGTTGACGACATCAAAGTGCTCGCCGCGAGGGCGTTTCAGCAAGGGAATGTACTTTGCCGTGCGCCTGAATTCAGAGCCGCCGAGGGGGATGTTCATGACCGTCTTATTATCGGGCGTGAAGCCGTGCCAGTGTGTTGGTAGAACAGGTCGTGGAGCAGGATGGTGGGCGCATGCAGCTGCGTGGAAAGCCGAATTCAAGGTCGCGTACATCTGTGATCTGCCCTGTATCGAGTGCAGCCTGTGCCATAAGCCTTCTGTCTGCTCGGGCTCTCGGTCTGTATGCCAGGAGACGTCGTTCGGAGCATAGTGGCATTCGTACAAAACCAAAGGCAGACTGTCCGCCATTTGGTATTCCGGTTTCGTCTCCACTCGGGCATCTCCCTCTCCATCGACGTTGAGCATGGCTTTGACAACATTAGGCTGTTCAAGCCCTGATCCCACCAGGAAGAGCACCGCCATGATGTGTCGCACTTGATGATAGAGAAATGCCGTCCCGATGAGATCGAATACGAGCATGCGGTCATGGTCATGTTGATTTATAGACGCACTGAGCACGCGCCTCTTGTACAGAGTGATTTGCTTTGAGCCGTCGATTTTGCAGAAATTGCGAAAGTCGTGCAATCCAACCAGCATGGCTGCCGCCTCCGCCATGCGTGTCACGTCGAGATGCTCGGGTGGGAAGAAGTACTTGTAGTGGCGCGAGATGCAGGAGTAACGCGATGAGAAGGAGTCCGCTACGGGCGACCAAGCTAGGATGCGGATAGTATGGGGGAGGACCCGGTTCAGCATCAACGCGTAGCTGTGCTCCCTCTCTGGTGCGTCTATTGTCTTGCGCGCAGGAGCCGCGTCAAGCAGTCCATCGGAAAAGTCTTCTGGTGGAGATTGGTTCACTGACTTGAGAGTCTCACCGTCTCGTGCAGCTGAGTCCGCAGAATTCAATGCATCCCTGCCCAAGGCACTGCGCACCCAAAGCGACACGACCTGCCCCGCCGCACTGACGCCCCGATCCGTCCGCCCGCACCGTTCCCACCCACATCCTTCCATCCCCACGGCAGGATCCACGAGACGCGCCTTCGCGAGCGCGTCGAACAGAACGCCCTCGACCGTCGGCAGGGGTGTCGCGTCAGACTGGATGGACAGGCCGTTGTACGCCCAGCCCGCATACGAGAATTTGAGCGCGATCTTCCGGCGCGGATGCGCTGCAAAATCTAATGGCTTGCGTAGCTTACGAGAGGGAGGCGGCAGTGGCCTAGGTGAGGCTGGGCGTCCAGTGGCATCGCTCTCGAGAAGGCGGAGTTTGGCGATCAACTCTTCTTTGGACCAGGAGTCATAAGGTAAGGTGGAAATCATTCTTTGGGCACGAAGTACGAGACGCATAGACTGAACCCTCCCGGGGCGACTGAGTGTGCACTATGTGCCGTTGACGGTTTAGTCGCACGGATGGCTGGGATATCTTATCACGTGATGTCAAGTTCGCAATATCGAGGCACTGTGCTGCAGCGTCCAGCCTTTGCCCTCGTGCGATTGCCGTCACTCTGCATCAATTTCGTATCCAGTATGGCTTTCTTCGTAGTGTATGCCTCCAGAAGAAGTGTCTCCTCGCTGCGTCCGAAGTCCCTCCTGTCTGCCGCCATTCGCAGTCAACTTGGTGTAGGTCCCGGTCACCTCTAAAGCCACTCACTCCCACAACTCCTACACTCAGTCGATTTGGACTCCTTTCTCGCTGGATTTTTCTCGAGCTTCTCTACCCCGCCTCATCCGATCCGTCAAACACGAATGCGCAGGCCGCTAGCGCAGCCTCCGAATGCTGCTCTCGTTCTCATCTAGTGCAAGGTCCGAGTAATTCGAAAGTACTCGCTTCGAGAAAAGATCGGCTTTGCTTATCGACATGGTGCACATCATCTGGGGTCTTATGAGCTCAAAGCCGGTGTCTCCAAGGTTGACGAGCTTTAGTGCCGCGCCCAGCCTGCAGACCAAATCCACCCTACCATCTATGAATACCTCCCTCCGATGGGATCGGATGCATGCCTGCCGAAATTTTCAGTCGCCGGGAGATGAGTTCTTTGGTACCGGTTCATGACGATGCAGCAGGGATGCGAAGAAGCGTTCCAGTTCGGGACGGCCAGTGCTGGATTTCTCAAAAAACGCTGGTCCCGTGCCGTAATGAATCCTTACATTGCCCCCATGAGATCCTCGGACCTTCTTCAATCGAATGCAGTGCGATGAAACTACCAAGCATACGTGCGTCTTTGATCCGGTATATGGCATGCCGCAAGCCACCAATCTAGACGTGCACTGGGCATCTACGAAGTGGATTTTTTGCCGGGTCAGTGGTTCTGTGTAATCCGTTCTATATATCTGTTTATCTCCTGATCCTCCCTCTCAAGGAATGCCCAGTACATCTCTTGCTTGATCAAGATGATCTTCCACGAAGAGTTGACTCGATGGGACGTCGGCGCGCCTTCTCCTCGTGGTCTATGAGCGTATAATGAGCCCAACCCTAGTTCTAGCGACTGTCCGTCGTTCATCTGATCCTAATCTATCCTGGCGGTATCATCTTCAATATGTGATTCGGAAGTTTGGAGCCAAGGAAACGCATTTCACCCCAGAAACAATCTCGACGAGTACGATAAGTACGACGAGCATACGATCCAGAGAATGGACTAAATTTATGTTTCATAGCCCCGTTCGATCTGTGCAAATGCAGTGGTGTGATCTCCAGGAACGAGTCGATACGTGGTAAAGTGGTGAAGAGTCGATATTGCTTCCTCGAAGTGTCTCGCATCCAAGCCAAGATGCATCGAGGCTGCAGTCACCGCGGGATTCTCAATTCAACTTGAACAGCATCCTATCGTGAGCACCGGGTTGCTGCTCTGATGCAAGTTCCGCACAGCCATGAATGTAGTGGACCACGGCATGTGCGTAATCGATTATTGTGTCCGGCGTTTAACGGAAATCAGAAAGAAATTGGCATTTCGACTGGCGGGCGCTTGACGAACCAACAAATCAACGAGATCATCGCATATAACGAAAGACGCGCGGCGCAGGGTATCGCTGGCTGACAAATATAGTTGCTGCCGTTTGGAACTTGGACCGAGTCCGAGTATGATAATAAGCAAGTGACCTCAAATCTATGGCACAAACGTCTTACACTCCATCGAGAAGCATAGTCTATCAGCTTCGACAGGACAGGCTGCAAGGCGCGTGCACGCGCCAAACTCCGTTTGATTAATGGAGTTTATCAATGCTGAAACAGTGCTTCTGAGCCCGAGAATGACATGGAGGCTGTACTCGGGGACTGGATGCGACAAAAAATTGTAACCCTTTGCTGGGGCCTTTTCGAGAAGATGCATTGGCACTCTGAGGAGTTACCTGGAATACTCTAACTCTGTGTTGTATCATCCTCGTCTGGACCTCGCCAGTAATCTACCTAACTACCTACCAGGCTGCACTGCAATGCCAACCCGATTCCAAGTCGGAGCATGACGTCGTGGATGTGATGAGAGTTGATCACTGCATGTCTACCCGAGCCAAGTGTCGTGAGCTTTCAGTTTGCTCTCTTCCCTTGCGGAGTCTCCTGGTCTTCGAAATCCAATGCCTACGATTCAGTTCTCGTCCTCTTACGCACCCAGGTCGGGCAAGTTCCGGATGTTCTCCTTGCTTGGTGCAGAGACCACTTGTGGGATCTTGACGACGGATATCCCTTGTTAGCGGAGGCAGATGCACGTCCTCTTCTTCCCCACCTTTCGATGAGCCGCCCGACGGCAAAGGGATTCTTTTTCTCTTATGTCATATTGATGTGAGGCATTCAGTATGGATAGGTTCAAATCAAGCTCAAAGTCGGCCAGCTGCGCGCCTGCAGGGGCAACTCCCCCCAGCCCTCAAATGGCTCAAACTCTAATGTGAGCACCGCTACAAGATTTTGCACCCCGGCTCATCGAATCTTAGCATTTGGCACAGCACCCAGTTGGCAGTACATAAGGACACGGATGCATTCTAGAGTGCCATTGGCTGTGGCATGCATTTTCTCATACTGAAATAGAAAGGACTCATCACCATTTCGACTGGCAGGCGCTTGACTCACGCACAAATGACGAATGGATTGCGGATAGCGAAAGATGCCCCCCTCAGAATGAGGCCTTTGGCAACCTTTCATGGCTAGAGTTCGGGATGGACTGAAAGTGAGTCGAAAAACGGTTTTTTTTTCACATGAATCTCGATGAGCAACTGATCCTGATCCTCATGCAAACTCCACACTCGGAGTACAAGCTTTCCCACAAAACCTGTGCAACAAGCTGAAAGGCGTGTGCGCTCATCTCCGCTTCCTGTGCAACATCGATGGGACGTCTGCATGAGCGGCAATCAACACTGCCGTCTCCAGACTCCAGCATGCGAGTGCAGATTTGACATGCACAGCCTTGGTGGTGCATCGAAATCCAGGTATGTATCCACATACGTCGGGGTGAAAGTGCATATCATAACAAGGAAGCAGCGCATGGGACTATGATTCAGCTCTGGTCATGCCTTCCCTCCTGCTATCCCACAACATCCAGCGCTCCCCCAGACGGTGTTATAACAGCCAGTACGTGCCCCTCAGTCTCCGATTCATTGATTTTCACGGGCGTGTCCAGTGGGAAGCCGACCACATGCCCTCTGACGCGGGGCAATTTGATAGTCATCTGCATCATCTTAGGCGAGTTTCAACGATTATACGATATGAGCCCAGTTGACATTCCGCGGAGTGCAGGCGGGGCGGGGCTTGTGAGCTTGGTCTATCTTTGCTCCCGTTTTTGGGACAAGATCCCCAAGCCAAAACCACCGCGTGATTCGGTAGCGGTACCCGACTCGACATCGCGTCCCACCAGTACCCATGATAGCCTGGATCCCGCAGAGAATCACCCGTTGGTAGTGGAGCCACCCGAAGTCCACGCGGCCACACATCCCTACCCTCCACCATACCCAGTCCCACCCCCATATCCTGTTCCACCCGCATACCAGGCCCAAAGTCGACCTAGCTGCATCGAGGACTGAAACGAGGACTGCAATAAAGAACTACAAGTATACCAAAGTGCCCCATGGTCAAGACTGTTCTGGCGCATTAGATTCTTGGGTATCTTCTGAAACTTAAGCCACCGAGAGGGATGTTCGCGACCATATTGTTATCGGGCGTGAAACTGTACCAGTGTGCTGGCGAAGCAGACCGTGGATTAGGATGATGAGTATCTGTAATCTACCCTGCATCGAGTGCAGCCTGCGCCATAGAGCCGTCGATCTTGCAGAAATGACGAAAGTCGTGTAATCTCTTGGATCACGTTGTGGTGGAGATCCTGTCCCGAGCGCGAAGCACAAGACGCGTGCTAGTAGGACCTGGCAGAGCTTCAAGTTATTGGCTGACTCGTAGAGCCGTATTCCGAATTGATGGGAGATCCCCACGTGACGAAATCGCGTTTCAAGTGATGGTTCCACCCCGGTGTGGTCGTCGCGGCTGCCAGTGAGCGATCATTTCAATTTTTTCTCATGTCCACCACCGCCCTTGGAAGTCAAGGTCCAGACCATGACCACTCCGAAACACCTTCCGCTGCCGCAACTCCCGCAATCGGTCAATTCAAGCTCGTCGTTCCTGCAGGAGTTGTCTTGACGTACCCGCCCACGCCTAATCCAATCTCGTCAGACGCGGAAGTCCAGATCGCTTTCACAGCGAACCTCCCTAAAAATTCTGTTCCTCTGGTTCTCCTTCAGGGCGAGGTCGGAGTAGTGAGACAGTACTCGCTCTTGGAAAAGACCAGCTGGCTTATTGACATTGCACACGATATCTGTGATCCTGTCGGCAAAGCCGGGGTCTTGTGGGTCCAAGGCTTCGCCGACCGATCTTGGCGCCAGGCCGAATCTGGAGATGAAATCCAGCCTGCTGTTTATGAATACCGTCCACCGACGGGAGCGAACCTGTGCCTCTCGAAGTTCAGTCGCCGGGAGATGCGCTCCTTAACATCTCGTCATGGTGGTGCAGCGAAGATGCGAGGGGGTGTTCTGGATCGCGACGGCCAGTGCTGGATCTCTCAGGAACGCTATGCCCGAGCTCTGGTCAACAGTCACATTGTCCCGAAGCGAATGGGAGATCATCAGACCTCCTTCATTCGCAACCAGTTCTGTGGAACTACCGGGTATACCAGCGTCTTCGACCCGGTATATGGCATAGCCCTTGCTGTCAGTCTAGACGTTCATTTCAACATCTACGAACTGGGTTTTCGCCGGATCAATGATACTGTGAGTTTTGTTCTGAATACCTGCTTGCGATACATATGAACCTCTCCAAAGCAATATCAAGCACATCTTTTTCTTGAGCAAGATGATCTTCTGGGAAGCCTCGACTTGTTGGGACACTCGACCCCCCATCTCCTCGAGCCTGCCCCTGCTTCAAGGGCGCATGATTACCCCACCCCCAGTCCTGGCGACTACCTCTCCTCAACCTGATCCCGGCCTGTTTCGATGGCATTATCTTCAGTGTGTCATCAGGAAGTTTGGAGCGCGCGAGTACAAGGAACAGATTCCTAATATTGTGTTCTCCGCAAACCCTTTTCGCACCAGGGACGACGACGACGACTCAGCTGATGGAGTGGATTTGTGGCCCACGGCCCTGTTTGATCTGGGGCGAATGCAGCAGTGCGATTCTCACCAACGGGCCGACACCTTGCGCCATACAGAGCGGTGGAGGAGAGACACTGCTGCCGCAGATTGATTTCTTCTTCTTTTCTGCTCGGGGTGTCATCGAGACTGCAGTCTGTCACCACGGTGAAGGCCTGGGTTTTCTCATGTTCCACACAGCAATAATTTCACTGGACAAGTACGTATTGTACGTTACGGTATGTATTCGTGCTGATCTTCTCATGGTTCGATGGGCATAGGTCCTTTTTTCAAACACACATCCGCCAAATTGAGGAACGTGGGATATGAGCGCCTGGGCTTCTACGGGGAACTGTGGTACAAGCCGAAGGGCCTATACGACTGTGTGAGAAACTGTGGTACTCTGTGTTAACGCTTCTCTGGGGGAATGGCGCAAGTCTGTATCTGCCTGTGCGCCTCATCGCCATAGAGGAACTCGAACTTTGATCTACAACGTGTGAATAAAGAGTGGACCGCGCATCGAAATCTAGGTAGACACATCCTCGGATTCACATAGCCCATATCCTGTTGCGCCGGCATACCAGGCCTAATGACGATCTAGTTGCATCGGACATTATAACGAGGACTGCATCAAAAGCTACAAATACACCAGGGTGCTACATGGTCAAGACTGTTCAGGCGGTTTGGATTCTTGGGGATCTTCAACAGCTGGGCCGGCGGTTTCAACGCCCTTACCAGCATCTAGAGGGCTGCTCTTGAATCGACCGCGGGGCCCGCTCGACCCAGCCGCTGCAACACGACCACGGCGGCCCATTCCAGCCCGAAGAACTGCCTCGAGAGGCATATCTGGGCCGGGCGCGGCATCTTTGGGTACCTCAGCTGTGTGTACTTCCGGCTCGAGCTCGCGTCCATCCTTCAACGCAGGCTTGGACTGCGCTTGGGGCTCAGCGGATTTGCCATCGCCAGGGTCCCGTTGCGAAGGCGGAACACTGCGAGACCGCAAGAAGTTGAGCGTGCGCAAGCCGCCGGTAGGGGTCCCCACTGCAGGCGGCCTTTCGTTGGCCGCAAGAGCGCCGAGAGCGGGAGAACCGTGGTGGCTAGGCACGAGATGCTTGCGGTGGTGAACGTAAGTTCCTTTCGCACCATCCGCATCGAATTCGTCGAATATCTCTTCGCCAATGAGTTCTGAGGACCCCAGTTAGAGACGCAATCCCCAACAACGCGCGACAACGTACCCTCCAAGACATCTTCAAGTGTGATGATTCCAACCGGCATGACAGAGGTGTCCAATCCAGCGAAGAACTGGTCCATATCCGCGATGTTGAGAGCGGCATCCGCGGGCATGCTCTGCTCCAATCCAGACAATCCGGTCCATCTCGATCCACTAGGCGGTTTCACAGGCACTCCGGACAGGGGATCAGCACCATAGTCTCTGATCACAACGTCGCCCTCTTCGTTGTCGTCAGAACTGCCACTCTCGACATCGGTCGTCTGAGTGTCTTTTTTCTTCTCAGTCTCTTCTGCCTCGTCGTCAGAATCGTCGCCCATTCCAACCTTCTCGCGCAAACGCTGAGTGAGGCCTCGCTTGACCTCCTTCTGTACCTTCTGCACCTTTTCCACGCTGTAACGACTGACAATGGCAATATGGGAGCGCCCTTCCTGGAACTTGTCTAGGATACCGAGAAGCGTCTGATTGTTGTAGACGAAGGGAACAGTGTTCAATGGAATTGTGTGGATTGGAGGAGCCTCTGGGAAAAACGATCAGTTGGTGAACTGAACAAATCGCGTGAGCAGCCGTGTCACTTACCCTTGGGGTCGATGAGCACCAGTTGCTTTACGAGAAGAATACCAAGAATCTTCTTCACTTTGGTAACACTGCTGTTCGCTACGCGCACTGAAGCGGGCGCGTCGATCTCTTCGAAGACAGGGATGCGACTGTGGCCAGACGCGACAATTTTCTTCATGAGATCATAGTCGAGACGAGCGTCAATCGAGAGCATGAACACATTCTCGATAGGAGTCATAGCCTGGTCAAAGCTCAACTGCAGTTCACAAGACCAAGAAGAACACAAACATCTCGGACGATCTTTTCCTGCAAGTCAAGGGTGGCTCCGATAATAGCCACAGTGTCCATTTTCAAATCGCCTCCGTGATGTTCCTGAGCCGAATGCATGGCGATGAGCTCCTTCAGCTCGGCACGGCGATAGATGATGCCGTGATGTGAGCCAAGCACAAACTCGAGTAGCTTGGCCACTGGCCACGAGATGACTCCCTGTGAACAGTCAGACTCAAGACTTGCAGAACATCACGGCCGTGGCATACCAAGGCATAGATGAGTAACTGCGTAAATGGCGCTGCCTTTGCTCCAAGATAGAGGCCGTAGCGGGTGAAGAGCGACTGCGGGATGATTTCCGAAAATATGATGATGAGTACCGTGCTGACAACGACGGACTGGACTCCGCCACCAAGGACCGGATCGCTGATAATGGGGAGCGTCTCGTTCACGATCATGTTGGCGAGCAGCAGTGTCACCAGCAGTAGGTGACCATTCTTGCGGATGGGCAAGATTTTCTGAGCATATTTACGCTGTTCACTATAGTCGCAGTCGTGACGGGAGCGCGACGACGAAGTAGTACAACTCACGGAGTACCACTCAGACAAAGCACATTGAGTTGCGTTTGATCCAAACTCATGTACCCGAGAGTCAATCCGGCGAAGACACCTGACAGGAGGACGAGGACCGGCTTTACGAACGTCAGCGAGGTAATAGGCTACCGAGAAAGAGGCAAGTACAATGAGGCATGCGAAAACGATGTCCTTGGGCTGTGAGTCCCAGGTCAGACGACAATCCTTAGCAAGAACATGGGCGCGCACAGAATGAGGATTGAATGTCGTTGCTCGTTTGGAATGGACATGGGTTCGGCCAGAAGAAGAGTAAGGATTGAGGCTCGAGTGGAGGAGAGCGAATAGCGTGTATATGAGGCGGGAGGAGTGCGGGCCCAGCGAAGGGGTAGGTGGCATCAAGAGAGGATGGGTTGGGTAGCGAAACCTTTGGAGTGAGCAATTTAGGTCGGGCCGAGCGGTGGCACTGCTTACGCCAAGGGTCACAGGGTCACGTCACGGACACAAGCCAAGCAACAGGCATAAGATATGACGTATGATGCAGTGCACATTGTTGAATTGGGCCGTAACGCCGCAAGTACGACGCGCCATGGAGTGAGTTGCCCGAGGCGCAGAAGTTGCGCAGAAGTTTAAGTTCCGTGTTCCGTCTCGGATCCGAAGAACAGCGCCCCTGCAATGCTCATGTCACGGGGATTGGTGGATCCGGCGGATGGTCTCTTTAACAGGGGAACGTGGGTGTGGAATTTCCGAATGCATGAGATGACGAGCAGGTCCGCGAGTTGGAAAGAGTCGTTTTGGCTGGGGTCATCGGTCCGTGTACATTGGGAGATCAGCGCGCTAAGTCGGCGGATGGGTGCCCCGCAATTGCACCATTTTGCGTGCATGACGCCAGATCTGGACTGTGACGTGAGCCCCGTGTCTATATAAAACCCGCAGTTCAGCACCGCTCCAACCGCACCTTCCCCTCTCCCACAAACTCCTGCTTAATGGCTGATACCTGGAAAGACGGTGCGCCTAACATCTTCCTCTCCTTACTGAATGAACTAATTCCTTGTGTCTTTCACAGGAATCTTCCTCAAGGCATGTTTCACTATTGACAACTGTCGCGTTGTTATTGATCCTCACAGGTTGTGAACGTTCTCGTTTACTTCCTCTTCTTGGGGTCCAACATCTACACTGTCGCCTCTGGGGCCACTCACTACGGTGGGAAGGAGACCTACATCACCCCCGCACCATGGGCGTTCTTGATCTGGTCGCTCATTCACCTGTTGCTTCTCGGCACTATCATCTACCAATTCACTACTGCGGGCAAGGGCGTCATCGTTGACGGTATCAGCTGGCGTTTCCCGCTTCTTGTTGTCCTTAACTCCATCTACGTCAACTTCTGGGCTAAGGGTGACTACATCATCGCCTTTGTTTTCTCCCTCTTCGTTAGTTCCGCAACGACAGTATGTGCATTCAGCAAATTCACATGGACTTTGCTGACACACGCTACAGCACATCTACTATATCGTCAAGAAGTACCATGTCGCAGAGAACTTGGGCGATGAAATCTTTGTTCATCTTCCCTTCTCCCTGTACCATGGATGGACCACCGTCCTCGTCATCATCACCGCCTTCCAGGCGTTTGGGGTGAATGCCGCCGTGAAGTCTGCAGGAGTCTGGACTAAAATCTTTGTGTTCCTTGCCCTGTGAGTTATAACTTCCGCCGCCTTGCCTCCATTACTGACTCGCTTCTCAGCTTCTTCCTTGAGGGCACTGCGGCCACGTATGCTTTCTCGTCTGCTGAGGGCGATCTTCCTGCCTCGATCGCCATCGCTTGGTCGCTCTGGGCCATCTTCGCCCAGCAGACTCAGAGCGGATTCGTTCACTGGAGCGCGCTCGTCTTCGCCATCATCGCATTGGTTTGGGTGATCAAAGGTGCATATGGCGCCTTCACCAAGAGCCGTGGCGGTGTCCGTCTTGATGATGCGGAACGGGCGCCTCTCATTCCAGGCGCTTGAGCGTCGCAATCGAAAATGTCAGCATGTTGATCAAGTATGGACTTGCCGAAATGCACATCTTTCAGCTTTCTTGTTTCTCTCGATCTCCTGTTATTGTTGTTGTACAGTACTCAAAACTAGTCCCTGTCCTGTTCTGCAATGCGTATCAGTCTTCTGTAATCATCCTTCTTTCACGGAGTATGCTTGAAGTTGTGAGATGGAATCTAGGCGCGTTAGTGACCTATCACATGATGTGACAGGCACGCGTCAAACTCGCCTCTCCCTCTCAACGACATGGGAGACAAAGTGTCCACCGATGTTATGCTCACCTTCTACCGAAGGCTGTATCCATTCAAACCCATTTTCCATTGGCTAAATCATTCCCCCACCCCAAGCACTCTCTTCACTAACCGCGAGATCGCCTTCAACCTTCCGAACGACAGCATGATACGGTACAACTCCTTCAATGACGCTGAAGAGTTCAAACGCATGGTCTGCAAGTTTAATCCGACGCGTTTCGAGATTGGGCCGGTGTATACAGCTCGGGTGCGTGTATATGGTGACGTGCCTTGCTACTAGATTGAACGCCAGGCAGCCCCGCGATCGCAAAACTGCCGGAAATGGTTTCGTGCCAACGCAGCGTGAACTCGTCTTTGATATCGATATGACCGACTACGATCCCGTTCGCACCTGCTGCACTGATGCCGGAATCTGTCATCGATGTTGGGCGTTCATCGCAGCGGCTGTTCGCGTGCTTGACCACACAATTCGGGACCAATTCGGATACGTCCATCTGCTTTGGGTCTACTCGGGTCGTCGTGGAATTCATCTGTGGATATCGGACACGGAGGCTATGGAGTTGACGGACGATCAGCGCAAGACCATGGTAGCCTTCTTGACAGTTGTGCCCAAGGACGAGAACAAGAAATTGAACGTGAGATACGGGTCAAGGGTATTGCCTGCGTCTTTGAGGTACGTTGGACGACGTTAATCACGGCCGTTCACCTCTCATATTGACGCAGGCCGGCCCTGGACGAGCTGGCTATGGTTTTCACAGATCTCATTCTGCGCGACCAAGACTGCTTTGAAACAGAGAAGGGCTGGGAAGCCTTGCTTCGTCTGATACCAGAACCTCGCGTGGTTGATGCGCTCCGCTCTCAATGGGAGTCATCTGCTCACTCGTCATCCGAAGATAAATGGGCCGATTTCAAAAAGCAAATCAAATCGTTCAAAAAAGAAACTTCACAACGAGTGCTTTTATATGCTAGCCACTCTCAGCTGTTTTGTTGATTGTCGTTTCAGGCCGCTCTAACCGCTGCTATGGAAGACATAATTCTGCAATACACCTATCCACGCTTAGACGAAAACGTGTCGAAGAAGAGAAATCACTTGCTCAAGGCGCCATTCTGCGTTCATCCAAAAACAGGAAGGATCTGTGTTCCCGTAGACCCACAGAAGATCGACAAATTCGACCCACTCAGTGTACCGACCGTGAGCCAGCTCCTGAATGAACTCGACAATTCTGCAGGAATGGAAGGCATCGAAGGAGAGCATCACTCAGGTAAGATTCGAGGGCCTGTCCTGTAGTCGATACTCATTCGCATCTAGATTGGGAACGAACTTCACTGAAGCCTTATGTTGAGATGCTCGAGAGACACAACCAACTCATTCTGGATGACGCCCTTCGAGAAAAGCGTGCGAAAGGTGCGCTTGTCAGTGCACAACAGAGGAGAATGTCGCTGATGCAGATGGCATCAGTGAACTCGACATGGTAAAACCAATATCGGGCGTTTTTGTATCGAGTACTTCATAGCTCGGTTTGTAAGGATATTCATGATGAAATCTGCACCAATAGTTGCACCGCCACAAAGATGAGATCGAATGTCCTGGCGCGTTGGGTCACATCACGAGATCCCAATACGTCAACCATCACACCATGTCTCAGGCTGCCTCTCCTGTTCTGAGTCTGTCATCCATGTCCAGCACGGCGTCCTCTCACTACATCTTCCCTACTACACCAATATCCCAACACGTTGCCACTCCAAGGCAAATTCCGGGGCCTTCAACAAAAGCACACTCTCACCGTCCAATTCACTCCTCTCCGCTTGCCCCCTCAGACCCATTCAACTCCAGTCCACTCGGGCCATCAGCCTCGTCACCAATTTCAGCTGTTCAGGAGCGTAGAAGGAGTCAATACAAACCTCGTATACCGAGTCTGCAGCTACCAGGTCTGAGCAGTGGCGGGGGTTCACGGCGGCAGAGCAAGGACCTGGCATTGGGCGTCGGTTCGCAATTGGGTGCCGCTGGGGATGATTCACAAGCCGCATTTCTGAGGACGCGGTTCAAGCTACGGTGCATTGACCGAGCGAGTAAAGCGCGACAAAGGGCGGTACAAAAGAAACGTCAGACGGGCGGGAGCAGTGAATTTGGCAGTGACGATGTGGATATGGAGAGGGAGATGCAGTCCGACGAAGAGGACGATGTCACCAATGACCAGGTGAGACGGACACACGCATCTCCTATGTGCCCTCTTTTCGCTGACTTCTGGTTCCCTAGTTTTTCAAACGTATCATGGTCAACACAGAGAACAAAATCAAGCACGCATATGCGTATTCCTATGACCGGGAAGTCGGATCTTTCGACCCCGCTTTGGAAGCGCCTGAAGAATGGGAGTCAGAGCTAGGTAAACGCGGTCTATGTCATTGTTGCTGAGTGGTGCTGATTACTATTTTGTTCCAGCTGACCACCTCGATCCTTCGGAAGCTGCATCAGCAGAGGAGGAAGCAGAAGACGACGAGGCTCTGGCTGCGTACATTGCAGAACAAGAGGCAATTGCAGACTTCGCCGATATCCCAGCGGATGACTTGTTCAACTGGAGCGATATTGACGATGATCTGCTTCCCAGTACAGATGCCACTGCCATGGATATCTCGTAGTCACTTCGATGTCCCTGTTCTAGGGCCATCCCATGGTCTTTCGAAGAAATCAGATACTTGCTTCATTTGCGCGAATTCCTATCCGAAAACTCAATCAATCGCTTTGCTACTGTCGTATACACATACTCACTACTTGTAACACTACCCTGTCTGGCTATATGAACGACCTTTCCATAGTCCGAGTAATCCAGCTCCAACACTGCCACTGATTGACTTTCAAACCCCGGTTATTTGATCCAGTCTTGTCGCTTCAAGCTTGACTGTTTACATTCCAATTCATTATGCCTTCGCTAGTACTGAACGCTCCAGTTGAGCAGGTCGACAGCCCACATTCGCTTCTCCCATTTCTGCAATCTCAATCGCAAAACACAATAACGCGTCTATACCAGCGACCCTCATCATGCCTTTCAGTCTTCCGGTAACACTCCCGGATCCCTGTTAGCTACCAACCATTAACGCGTGCGCTCTGCTATTCGATAGACTCCTCGCGCCGTTGCAGCAGCAAATCGTCATGAACTTGCTTTGGCTGGATTCCGCAGTACCACTTTCGACCATGGCAGCCTGGGTCGTCCGCGACGAGAAAAAGTACGTCGAAGGAAAGAGAATCGAGTTGTTGCTTGAGCTTTGTCGCCCTCAGACGATATGACATCGCGTTGAAACCTCTTTTCGGGCTGCACATCATCACGACCTCGCCCATCAAGCTTGCGCTGAACCCCACATTCAAGACGAGTTTTCGACAGGCGCTGACAGGGAGGTGGGTCGCGACCTGAGTTGTCAATGAGCGGGCTCGCATTTCCGTCCAGCGGAGCCGTAGGGAGCTTTGGAGTGCTGGCGGAGCCGGATCGCCAGTACGAAACAATGTCGGTGGAGGAACTGGATGCGTATGCGCTCGAGCGATGGGAGGCGCGTTTCTGTCTTTCCTCGGCTAAATTTCGTGTTCAATGCATTGGACAGACGGTATTACACTTTATGGTGTCCTCGAACACAGGCTCGAGCTCCGTTCGGCCGTCGAAGGAGGTGTTGTACTTGCTTACAAGGAGTGGGCTCATGGCAAGTCCCAAGTAAGCAACACTCGAATGAGATGTAACTTGCTCCACATGCTCACTTCTTGCTTCAGTGGCTCGATGCAAATCACATCTGCAGGCTTTCAATTCCTGCTCTATTCACCGCACGAGCAACTATGGGATCTTCTGTTACAGTATCTGAGGATGACTGAAGAGCTGGGGATGGATCTGGTGGAGGTTTTGAGCTTCTTATTCATGCTATCGACCATGCAGCTTGGCAAGGTACGTGCATTCGATCCGAACCGCTGCTGGATTTGATCTCATCGCAGGAGTACACCACGGAGGGACTCAGCACAACAGAAACAGCGGCCCTCACACATCAGGCCGTGTTGGACGTCTTGCGTGACTATGGGCTTCTCTGGCAGCCAAGGGTGTGTCCCATTCCTCGAAGTCTATCTCACAAGTTGATCTCAGCACAAGTAGCCCTCGTCGAAACGATTTTATCCTACAAGACTTGCGACTACACTGACATCTTCCTCACCTCCATTACCGTCTTCGGCAGGCTCTGGTCCTCAAGAGGGATTTATCGTCCTGGAGACCAACTATCGAGTGTATGCTTACACTGGTGAGACCGACATCCAGAAGATATCCCGAGCTGACTCGATCCAGATAATCCACTTCAGACCGCCGTGCTTAACTTGTTTGTGACACTAAAGTATCGCTTCCCAAATCTTGTGGTGGGCTCCATAACTCGCGAGAGTGTCAAGAAAGCACTCAACAATGGGATCACCGCAGAACAGGTCAGTGTCTGCCCGTCCGATCCTGATCACAGCCAAGAAAGAAATCTGCCCAGATAATCACATATCTCATCGCACATGCGCATCCTCAAATGCACAAAAACGTTCGTCGTCGTTCAGGGTTGCAAACGTGGATGATTGACGCATGGCGATAGAATCCGCTTCTTCCTATCACGGTGCAGGATCAGATCAGACTGTGGGAGTTGGAAAAGAACCGACTCAAGTCCCAAGAGGGTGAGTGGATATTTTTCCGCTCGCCAGCCTGGCCTGATCTCATGCCAGGATACCTGTACACTGCGTTCACATCTCCAGCCGACTATGAATTGGTCCTGAATTATGCGAAGCAGATCGATGTTGTGCTGTGGGAGAATGCGACGAAGAGGTGTTTCTTTGCTAGTCTAGACGGCCATGCGAGTATCCGAGGGTTCATCGAGAGAAGGACCGGAGGCAATTAGAGTCTGATAGGACAGCTCTCTGTGATATGTACATCCGATTATAGAATCCTGCTAGCACCCGGAATGCCAAGTAAAGCCCGACCCCCAGCCCAACTCAAACAGACACCAGACAACCCGACAATCAGCGCCTTCAGTAATGGAGGGGCGGGTGAGCTGTGCAACAGGATCTGCAAGCCCACCACGACCAGCGCATGCACGAGATATGCGCCGTATGCATAACGAGCGGTGGATCCCCATTTCTTGGAGGTCAGCTTCCAGCGATGGAACCCCGCAAAGAGCGATGTCCCCAGAAAGTAGAAGCAAAGCTCGCTCCAGATCGCGTAGAGCAGCGCGAACGGATTCATGCCACCCAACATCAGGCTGATGCTCGGAGAAATGGTGTACAGCGCGACCGCCGACAGAATAGCGACGAGCAAAGTCAGCGCGAGATCTCTTCCTGGATGGGGACGAAGAATGAACTGCTGGATTTTGGAGAGACACGTGCCAGCGGTGTAGGCCAGCACGTATTGGGGGGCGTAAGCCAATTGCACGTTGAGAGGCGGGTACGAGTGCCCCACGGGATGGGACAAGCGGACCAGGAACGATGCCACGATGACGGCGGAGATGCTCACGAATGCCGCAGCTCTGAATGCACCTAGCGATCGTGGGACCAGATAGGACAGGGACGGAAGATACTTTCTGACGGTGACATACACCAGGTCGAAGACGAGCAGGACAGCAAGGTACCTGGACAAGTTATATCGAAATGGCCGCACAAATGGTTGTCCACTGGAACGTACCACACTACACCTCTCACACCATTCAGGTGACGATAATACTCTACAAGCGCGGAGAGAACGGGCAGGTGTTGGGACCATCGCACCAAGAAAATGGTAAGAGGCTGAACGGACAACCTGTAGACCACAGCTGGAATTCCCAAACGTTTGAGCTTGTCCAAGACGAACTGTTTCCATGTCTTGTGGTCGGCAGCGTGGGACGAAAAGTGACCGGACAGGAAGAACAGCAGACCCATGAAGAAGGACTGGTTCACGACTTGGAACACGGTGATGACGACAGAGTGGCCCATGGGGTACTACAAAGGGCACGGCCAAGATCCAACGCTGCCATACGGCATCGATGCATGATGAACGACGACGAGGGCGACGAGAAACGAGCGAAGATTGTCTGGAAAGTGGATCCTCGATCTAGAGAGCAGAGCAGAAAGCTCGTCTACCGTTTCAACAACGGCAGGCATATCGGACGATGTGGTGAACGAAGATGGCAAGCTGATAGCTGCGCCGCAGTATGATTCCACCTGATGTCATGGTAAGATGGGCCGTCCTCAGCCGAGAGCTCTGTGGCGAGGTGAATTGGTGCAGTATACTTCGTGCAAGGGCAGGAGCCGTTGAAGTTCAGGTTGTTTCAATGTTTTTGCAGTGTACAGTGTATCAAAATCACGTAGTGTCACAAATCGTCACACTACGCGTGCCAGGTCGAACGCGTGACCGCTTCGTTTACTACTTGGTGAATCACTCATTCACACATTCTGACCGGCAGCATGGACGACGACGACCACAACACTATTCCGTTTTCCCTAGACGACCTTGTGTCTCCAGAAAACGTCGAGTTCGACATGATGAAGAGAGTGTTCTTTTGGGATGGACCCATCCGTGCTTCTCTCCTGGAGCACGGATACACACTGAACACATTCGAAAACCTCGACACGATCCATCAGTCTGAACCAGAGGATCGCGTCTGCTTTACGTCTCCCACGTTTTCATGTTCCCCCGGTTTTCCTGCCGACCAACGATTCGCCTTCATTGAGAGTCCCGGACCGGAGTACGAGGGTATCGATCGAATGGAGGAAAAGCCGTACATGGCGCGATCGTCTGTGAGAACCGTATAGAACTGTCTGAAATCAGTCCTCACGTTGATTGTGCAGGGGAAAGTGTTCTTCGGCCAAGAGACCGCTTGCCACGAGCACCACGTTGCGTTCAAGCTTGTGCGCGACGGCAGTCCTGAGCACAGGGCTCTGAAGCTGCTCAGTATGCACAAAGTGATACGAGGCCTGGTCCCTGTCCTGGAGATTCTTCCGTTCCGAGGGCATTGGGTCGCAGTGATGCCCCGGTGCGTCGTTTCGTTCTGTAGTGTTTGCTTATCAAGTTGACTTCTTTCCACAGCTGGGATGAAGGGGTTGTTTCAAGGAACCTTTGGCCAAAGACCGTTCGACAGACTTTGGACCTCTTTGAGGACCTTCTTTCGGGACTTTCCTTCCTTCACGAACACCGCATTGTTCACCGGGTGCCATCTATTGCACATTGCTGTTTGTCTTTCCGCTCATCACTTTGCCAGGACATCGGCGGGTTCTTCAACATCCTCATCAACCACCTTGCTTGTCGGCACTACAAACATGACATCCCCTCCCGCCGTGCTATGCTTGCCAACAACCAGATCAAAACGGCACTTTTTGACTACAACTTGTCTGTGATCTTTCCAGAGCATGTTCCCTTATCCCGGGCACGGTCCCCGTGTATCAGATTCTACTACGGGAAGCCAACGCCGCCGGTTGATATCTGTCTGGGAGAATATCAATTCAACCCTTTCGCGTTGGACGTTTACTCCCTCGGGAGTGATTTTAAAGCATTGTTTCATGTAAGTATCAGTCTATTGATACGGAAATCGCTGAAACGTTGCAGCACTTCACACCCATCGCTCCTCTGCTGGCTCCTGTGATTGACGGCATGGTCCATTGGCGCGCTGCATCCCGTCTCACGGCTTCTGAAGCACTCAAACTTCTGCGCTCAATGCGACAAGAGTATGATTCCGAAGTGGGTGATCTCCCTACTCCTGCGCGGGACCATTCCCATGGAAGACGCAAAATTGATTTATGGCATGACCTGCCGCCCAAGTTTGTCAAACGTTGGAAACATCTACGAACGCCCCCACAGCCAATGATCCGTCATCTTATGGCTCGTCTGTGCTCGCCATGGTATGTCGCAGGTTTCGTTCGGTTCGTGCGCCGTACTATCGATTGCCTCATGTATCCCAATTGTTATCATCAAATTGAATACTAAATCTACCTATTTCGTTGAAAACATCGGTACTAGGTTACTCTTCGACAATGGTAAAGTCCTTGCGTTCAATTCTTTCATCTGCCTTGACCCAAACGCTGGCCGGTTGAACTACTTCTTCTGGTGAGTACGTGTATCTCACCGTCTTCCGCCAGTTCTTTAGTACAATCAATCTAAATGTCAAAGACAGAGAGATATCACGCACGTCTGACTCCAGATCAATTTTAGCGGCCGACAAGACGACCCGGATTATAACTCGAGTCCCGGCCGGGAGAGTCTTGCGCAAGACTTTCTTATCGGGTGCTTGATAATATAAGACCGTATCCTTGGGGAGAACTCTCTGATCGTCAGTCTACAAACAGTCAAATAATGGCATTCCCAGGAGAGGAAGTACTCACCTGCAGAGGGGCCTCGTCGTCGCCCCGGGGATCCAAGTCTCTGTGGATGATAGCATGAGTGGATTGACAGATTTTCTCCGAATATGTTTGGACTGGTTCCGGCTTGTATGAAAAGTGGAAGGAGAAGACATAGTCCCCCGAAGAGATCTGGAGGGGTAGACTCGGTAAGTTGGAATAAGATACAGCAAAAAAAAAACAGACACTGTTTCTCGAATGGAGTTGGCCAATCCAATACGCCACTCCCACCGTACCCGCCGGAATGGTCTAGTGAGGATACTCGGTCCCCTGGCGGACTGCCACGGAGTGATTGAGTCGTATCAAGGTCTCATTGAGGCGAACACCCTGCTATATGTCAGCACAAAGTGGGAACGTATTGAGCAGGACTGACATCCGCTGCTTGGAGAGAGGACATGCTGATTGCTGGTTGGACTCTGAAGTCAAGTAAGATGTCGATGGAAGTTGTCGACTGAGGTTTGAGAGCGAATCGAGTCTTATATAAAAACCTAGCGAACAAGGTTAGATCGAATTAGCCCGATCTGTGTGCGGTGGAATCTGTAGCTCCGCTGTACAATGAAGCAAGGACTCCGAATATGATACGAGAAGATATTCGAGGTGCCGTAACAACACCTTGTTTGGGAATTTGCACCGAAGATGATATGAGTGTGGGCGTCACTCCAAAAGCTCAGTATTCAGACCAAGCCTTGAGCAATCCAAAAAGCAAGCCGCCATGTCAATGCATAATCGAAAGACACAGCAGTCTGAGCCTCCATTGGATCTCAAAAACAGAGGGTCTACGGCGATTAGATGTTTGATGGACAGCGAATGATTGTCTTCTTTTCAAAATCGAACGCATGGAGATCAAGGGTCAGATGAGCACAGGTGGCTCCAACACAGGACCGTTCCCAAATCGAGAAGGAAGACGAACACATGTGCACAAGATGAACTTGTCCTCAAAATACGCTGGCAGCTGAGATGCCTAGTCCGAGTCAGAAGTGCAGCCACAGATCATGTCACATGCCATTTGATTACATACCAATGCACGCCCACAACTGGCCCAGCGGTGTTCTATGCGTGCTCTTAGTCCGCGGACGGGGCAAATTTGTGTTATTCCGAGTCAATGGTAACATCCGACTAGGGTGTTGCTGAATTTTGAAGGGGAGAGGCAGTCTGTGTTACATGAGCCTGAGGCGAGTCACTACTACTATCCAGTGATCACCGCACGTCTGACAAGATCCACGACAAGGTTGTGGGTCATATTTTCCACGAGTCACTCTCCATAAAACTCTCACGCTACACTGCTTCTTTCTGAAATCTGCCAGTTACACGAATGAATCACCTGAAGAAGCTGAGCCCTTATAGTAGTGTTGTTCAGGCTCGGGCCGGCTTTTGGGGCCCAGGGCTTTCGGAATCCGAGGCAGAAGGTCGAGTCTGATGATAGCTTCGGTTTGGAATGGTCACCTCAGTTACCACCGCCATCACCCGGTTGCACCCCCGCGGGGGTCCTACTGGGTACCCTCAGACGTAGCTCTGAGGGTACCTAACAGGTAGCCCCTGCGGGGCCCGCGGGGGGATTTGGTCCATTTGGGGGCGGGGGCATATGCGGGGGTCAGCAGGGGGGGGTCTGTACATGTCATGTGATTTATCATTGGGAGCGGGCAGGTGGGCGCGAAAAAAAAATGAATCACATGACACATCCAATGGGCGGGATGGCGGCTGATGGCGGGGTAAAAAAATCACGTGATGCACCGCATGAAAATTATCAAAAATGGCTAGCAGGGGTTGGCGGGGGTTGGCGGGGGCGCTACTGGCCCCCCGCACACCATGGCGGGCAGTGGGCGCATTATCACGTGACTTTTGGGGGCACCTTTTGTGCACCATTCGGCATGATTTCGGAGGTGTTGCTTGATCCATTGCATGCTGTGGCAGACAATGGGCGCATAATCACGTGATTTTCCGCCCAAAAAAATGGAAGCCTTCCTCAAATCATCCTGGTATCATTTCTATCGGTAAATACACTACTTAAGCATGAATTTGAGCTTGGAAAGCCCAAAATGCACCCTGCACAATGGGACTGGTGATGCACTTGATCCCATCATTTGGCGGGGTCTGCTGCGGGGGGTGCCACGGGGGGTGCTGCGGGGGGTGCTGCGGGGGGTGCCACAGGGGGTGCCACAAGGGGTGCCGCAGGGGGTGCCGCAGGGCCCGCTGTGGGGTCAACCACAGGAGCAGGGGTAGGGGTGCATTGCATCATATTTTGATCTATCTATTCTCGCTGTGGTCATAGCATGCAGCATAATTATCCTTCATTTTGCCAGGAGTTTGGAGGCTGTGTCTGGGGTTGGTCTGCAGCTACAGCCATGTGACTCCCTGATGCTTTGGCAGGGGCTGGGATATCAAAACTGTGCAATATTGTCTGCATAATCCAGGCATGTAGGGTTAAAAAGAAAGTGTGATTTGTTCATTTTTTGGCTGGCAGGGTAGGTGGGCTGACATCATGGGCTGCATCGGGTCCGCTGTCAACTCATTGATTGTTTCGTCTGCTCATTCTATACACATGCCCATTGGTAAACTGATCATGCTGTAGGCACAGTCTAATCTTACCCTGTGGATAATACCACACGTTAATTACGCACCTAATGTCACACTTCCTGTCTGGGACTCATTGAAGTTCATCTGTTCTGTGTTACTTTACAAGCAGTTTGCTTTAGTTGCAACATGAACAGATGTAATAGAGTGGATTTGACATGCCCTGAATTGATTCCTAGGTGGAATATGAGACAATGGATTCACCAGCAAGTTGCCTCACAATAGTCAGAGATTGGTAATATTTGAATTTCAAATTTCATATACAACACTCTGTGCACTCAGAGCTCGTATATTTGCAAGATAGACTGTAGAGACATAGATGGTTACTTTTACTACCTCTGGGGCTGCACACATCCTTGCCATGACCCACTGCCTGCACCCCTGCTGGTACTCCCATTGGCACCCCCGCCGGCACCCCTGTTGGCACCCCCGCTGGCACCCCCGCTGGCACCCCCGCCAGTCTAGCACCCCCCGCCGCACCGGTGCCTTGCTCCTGTGATTTTCTTATATGTAAGATTATGTAAACTGACAGCTCGGAACACGTCAAGTCACTAGCCAATCAGAACCTGTATAAACGTCGTACCTAAGTGTTTACTGCTCTTCTAACACTGTTCCTACAGTTATGCAGCTGAAAACCATCGGAATAAGGTCTCCTTCTGCTATTCTTGTTGAATATGTAGATACTTCATATCATTTGTCCACCTAAAATTCGAAACATGAAAAGAGTTCACCATTGCTCAAGGTTCCTATGTAGACAATGGTTCAACATGGTTCACTTTGAGTATGGCAAAAAATATTTTTTCTACACACAAGCAATTCAATACAGCTGAATGATATACTCTTTGGCAGTGTCTGAAACAAATTCTGAGAGCCCTGGACCCTGGAACTATTCAAAAACTTGAAATGAGTCCGAAAAATAGGGTCTTGATAAACATGAGATATGGGCTGGTTTGAAGAGACATGGGCCACCGGTCATGTTGAATATAGTATTTTACAATGTTTCGGTGCCCTACCTCTCATCACATGGCCTCATTTCCCACTAAAAAGGGTGCATACACACTCAAGCTCATAAAATCAATTGTCACCCAGAAACAAGAGCAGTGAAGTTGTTTCACTGGGATTGGGTAAAGGTTACCTAGAAGTCACTTGGGTTGCAGTACAGAAGCTTTGGAAAGTGATTTTGTAGTTGATCCACATTTGGTAGGCTGGCAGATGCTTGTGCACCCCCACGGCACCCCCCGTGGCACCCCCCGCGGCACCCCCTGTGGTTGACCCCCCCCCCAACCCCTGCAAGGATTTAATTGACAAATGTCCTGCTCAATCCATTGTAAGAGTCTACAGTATTATTGGATTCAGTAAAGGGCCCAAATGGTGTGTAGACAAGAAGTATGAAATCCGGAAATCAACAATTATGACACCTCCACGGAATATGCTGCAAATGGAGAGAAAAATTTGAGTGCAGACAGACTACCTGAAGCAAACAGACAGAGAAAAGAAACATTAGCCATTTCTTGTTGATGATGTTGGCTGTCCCTGGAGCATGTACTTGGGAGATTTGCCTAACAAATCAAGTTGCACATTTTTCAAATTTTTAGTTTGACCTGACAGCTTGAGCAGACCATGCTAAAATGAACCAAGTCATATATATCAGTGCCCCAAGCCAAGCCAAAAGATTTAGGTAATATTGCACAGTTTTGATATCCCAGCCCCTGCCAAAGCATCAGGGAGTCACATGGCTGTAGCTGCAGACCAACCCCAGACACAGCCTCCAAACTCCTGGCAAAATGAAGGATAATTATGCTGCATGCTATGACCACAGCGAGAATAGATAGATCAAAATATGATGCAATGCACCCCTACCCCTGCTCCTGTGGTTGACCCCACAGCGGGCCCTGCGGCACCCCCTGCGGCACCCCTTGTGGCACCCCCTGCGGCACCCCCTGCGGCACCCCCCGCAGCACCCCCCGTGGCACCCCCCGCAGCAGACCCCGCCAAATGATGGGATCAAGTGCATCACCAGTCCCATTGTGCAGGGTGCATTTTGGGCTTTCCAAGCTCAAATTCATGCTTAAGTAGTGTATTTACCTATAGAAATGATACCAGGATGATTTGGGAAGGCTTCCATTTTTTGGGCGGAAAATCACGTGATTATGCGCCCATTGTCTGCCACAGCATGCAATGGATCAAGCAACACCTTTGAAATCATGCTGAATGGTGCACAAAAGGTGCCCCAAAAGTCACGTGATAATGCGCCCACTGCCCGCCATGGTGTGTGGGGGGCCAGTAGCGCCCCCGCCAACCCCCGCCAACCCCTGCTAGCCATCTTTGATAA